TTAAAAAAAAGCAACATTTTCAGCAAATCCAAAATAGCTAGACTTCCTGAAAATTTACGAACAATTATTATCTATGATTAAAAATGAAATTTCAGTGGGAATGAATTAATTTATGTAAAATACCAAGTTGTCAAAATTTAACTAGATTATTTGAAACCATGCTTTAATTCACTATGAGAACATATTTGTGATAGCGCACACAAATGTTCTCTTAATCATAATAGAATATGGTACTTTTATCTTTCTCATTGAAATAAAAGTTCAGCTTTAATTCTCCAAATTAAATTCATTATATGAAATATTTTCTGTAGTGTTAAATTAGTCATAAATTATTCTTTGCATATGATGAAAATTTACATACATTTTATACTCCCTATAATTTTGTAGAATTAAAAGAAGCAGTGTGGCCAGTATTCCCTTTCACCTCCTTTTGTCGGAGGAGGGCACTTCCATTTGTCGCGTAAATATAATAACAAAGTTACACATACATGTATATGTTTATAATTACAATTATTTTGATTGACTCTCTTAACTCAGCCGGAGCCCAAAATGAAATGTGTTCCTCTACTTAAATTTATTGTTCAATTATTTGTTATTAATTTAATTTATTTTTTATTTTATCTTTATGCATGAATCTACTTTGTGCAGCTGAAGAAAAAAGGGGGAAAATAATCATTTTATCGTAGCATATATATATCGGTGTGGGTTTTTGTCAGTGTGGGCTTTTATCTGTGTGGGCTTTTATCAGTGTGCACTTTCAGCGATGTGGGTATTTGTCGCATGGGCAATTATCGCAGTGGTGTCTTTTTTGTGGGCTTTTGTCGCGTGCTCTTTCGTCCAGTGGGCTTTTGTCTGGTCACCAATTAAACAAATTACTTCTCTGGTAAACTAATGAATAAAGGTCTTTCGTTAGCATAAATACCACTTAAAATTATTTCCCACATCAGGCATAAGGTGCATTTTTAACAATAAATCATTATTAAAAAATACTTTTAATAAAACACAAAAATTGGTAAATAAGCAAAAATGGAAATTATTTTCATATTGTTAAAATGTTAATAGAAGTATAAACCTAGTTTATATACTTTTCATTTGTCAATTTATTCATTATAAACTCTTTTTTTTTAATTAAACACATAATGAATTCTCCTATGGAAACTACCTTTAACAATGACCAATATTTCAAATAAACATCAGTATTAACATTATCAATAGTCACATTCTCTAAGATGTTTACCTTCACAAAAAAGAAATAAATAAAATTATAGATAGTTAGTCATCTTAATCCCTTAAAGCACCAATAAAAATTCAGAAAGTGGTCTTTATTCTGCTTTTTTTTTTTTTTTTTTTTTTTTTTTTTTTTATTATATTCTTTATTTTAACTCAACTTCATTTAACCTTGTCCTTTATTTGAAGTCAAAACTGTAGTGGATATATTCTCTCGTATTCATATCTAAAAAAAGTTCTTGAACTTATTTACTTGGATGCACTGAAATAGTTTAGTTTGATGTACAGTTAATTTAGTTGAGTGTATTAAGAGGCTACATTTTTTTCCAGAAATTAGAAAAGTTTTAAATGAACTCTTTTTGCTTCCAAGTTAATTAAATTTAAAAATTTGGATACTGTCATGATACCATAAACTAAGGTATTTTCATCATATGCAGTAAAATTCCGTAATGGCTCCCCCTACTCAAGCTATTACATTTTTCACATAATGATTAATGTGATATAGTAAGTGGCCTCAGTTATTCAAAAATCTGCAAGAGCTCAATTTTCCCAGCTGTGTGTGACACTTATGACAGTGATGAGTAAAAATAAACACAACAATGCAATGCATTACGATTATTTAAACATTTAATTTTTTGAAAGGCTCAATACTCTTTTCTATAATGATGTATGGTGACAGATTCCATTCCTAAAAACAATATATTTCATATTCACCTTATATATTCAAAGTTCTTAAAGAATTAAATATGGGTTTATATCCCCCCAAAAAAAGGGGGGCCACATTTGTTAGATCCTGATTTAAAATATTTATCTGATATAATACGGCAGAATTATACAACTGTATTTTTTATAAATTTAATATATAATTATGTACAGATTTTTAGGGAAAGGGGTAAGAGAGGCTACCTAAATTTCATAAATATTAAAAAACTATGCATAAAATTTATGAGTATTAAAAACTTCTTGTGAAAAATCATTGTTGATAGAGAAAAACCATAATTTCAAAATACTGAAATGCTTAAATACACACACAAGCCCTTTTTCCCATTCACTTACTTTTGACTGCTTGTTAAATTGGAGAACTTTACAAACATATAAAAGTCGAAATACTCTTAAAATCTGGAGTAGAGGAATCATACTTCCATGTTCCTTTAAAACAATGTATCCAACTGATGCCTAAAAGTATAATTAAAATTAATTGATAGTAAATTTTAAAACAAATGAAAAGTACCAAAATGAGTATAATAAAATAAATAATTATGCAAAAAAATTACCTGATCAGGAAGAGAAATAAAAGCAGCTATATGCAACTTAAAATTTTGGCACATGGCTTCATGCAAAATAAAACAAACTGCAAAAGAAATTTTACAAAGTAGTACCAAAATGCATGCATTTACTGAAATATTCTGCATCACTTAAGTAAAAGACTTCCAAACACGTGCATAATTAATTCAATATTTCTCAGAAAATAAACTGTATGTTGTACAACTAGGCAAATCATATTTTTCAATCAAGCATAAAGTATTTGAAATAACTTTCATTAAGAAGTCCTCAGCTAGCTTAGTTTTTTATTTAATTTACTTTATAACAATACTTCAGTATAATAAATTTTAAAGAAAAATAAATGTTATAAATAGAAAATATTCATTTGATAGAGAACAAAAATTTAAATTAAGTTTCCACATTTATTACAACAAAAAAGCAGTTTTCAGAAAGCACAGAAGTAATTGTAATCAAACATTTATTTCATCACAAAACATAAAAATTCTTGCTTATTATTACTTTAAAAGCATCTGAATACACATAACAAGGTTTGCAAAAGTAATAAAATGTTATTACTTTACTAAAGTTTGGGATAATATTCAGAGCTAATGAAGCTAAAATTTTGAAACAGAAATCTCCTTAAGAAAACAAGCAGCAAAAATTTATTTGGCAATTTTCAAAACATTTTAAAGAAATTTTTCCATTAATATCGTGCTGCAATTCATTGCAAATACGATATTTTTATATATTCAAATATAATTAAACTACATACGTCAACAAAAATGTTTTAAGAATGCATTTATTACACATGCTTTAAAGTCAGCCCTTTCCGATGTCTGGTTTGCAACAAAGTTCCACTTAAAGGTACATTTTTCATGCATGGTCAAATAAGGAACATTAAAGGCAATAAAATAATATCAGTAATATTCAACAGTTTAGATGTTTCTGCATTTGCATTACATTACAAAGTTCCTGCATCTCTTTATTTCTGAGTAACTCCCAACCTGTTTGCATATCCAATCAAACAGGACTCAAAGTTTTTATAACTGTCTGTCTCTACCAGAAGCATCGTTTACTTTAGTATCTCCTTTTACTGTGAGCTTCCCCTTATTTAGATACTATATTGAATAATTACGAAATTATTAATAAAAAAACTTAGGCTCCAGGTTATTATATCAATGTTTAAAAAATTCAATAAATTTAGTGACTCATGACCTAAGAACACACTGTCACATTAGAATCTCAAAAATAAGAATTATTTAAAACTAGTGGATAAATTGAAAAACAGATACTTAAGCAGACTCTTTTCAAACCAAGCCCTATTTTTCATAAAAAACTGAATATTTCTCCTTGCATCCACACTCGTAAACAAAATGCTTGAAGTTTCCCAGAATTTTTTACCTTTACTCTTTTAAATTTTGCCCCTTTTTTGAAAATATAAAACACCAGTGAAGATGCTGCCGCTTTTATTCATTCTTCTTTCCCCATTCTTTTATCAAAAAATTGATGATCACTAAAAAACATTCCATTACCATTTTCCTTTGTGTAATATCAGAAATGTCCATTATCAGAGAATGAAATATACTGTTGTTCTATTTTAAGGATCTAAGTATTTAGAAATTATTTCTTAATGGTAAGTGTCCATTAATAGAGGTTCAAGTACACACAAATGTAGCATTTCATACATTACATTCATATTTATAGATTAAAATACAGTCAAAAGTCGTTAATTCGGACACCCTTAATCCGGAATGATCTATAATCCGAACCTCAAAGCTAAAAACTTTCTGCGCATGCGCCGCGTTGACACATGCGCATAGGCGTTTACGCGTGCGCGTAAGACCTTTACGACTGCGCATATGCGTGTGCGCAAACGCAGAATACGTTTTCGCGTGGCGGTTTATGTATAACGGACACTATTAAGCTAGGAAAAAATTATCTTTACTGATTGTAAGGCTATTTCAATTAATGCTAGTGGACTGCGCTGCTCCGTAATCTTTTAGTTTGATCCAGCTTATTATTTTTAGCAGACTGTTATTATTACGAGCAATTTTATTAAAAACTAAGCTTGAACTTTCGAATTATGTCGAAAAGAGTTCCCAATGTCCGGAGCTCCCAAGGATCTACAAAGCGAAACCATGTTTCGATGTCCACTTTTTGTCCATCAACAAACAGTGAAATTGCTGCAATAAATGGATAAAGGCATGATCCGGTCTCAGAAATTTAGTGAAAACGAGGAGTATGACGATTTGAAAGTCAGTCTGTATATGACGGCACAGCAAAAAAGAAAAACTTGAACTTTTTGAACTTTTTTGCTGGAAGCAACTTGAACATTATGTCTTTTACAGAATTGAAGAGAAATGTTTAATAAACAAATAAATATTAAGCTTTTTTTTTTTGTAAATTTTGATACCCTTTAGATCATAATTGTTCTTTATTTCCTAAATTACGGTTTCATATTTTTAATTTTAGAATTCCTGCATGCCATCTTACGAGATTTAAACTGATGATCTATAATCCGGAAAAATCGATAATCCGGAATCGCCGAAGTCCCGACGATTCCGTAACGACTTTTAACTGTATAATACTTTCATATCTTTACTGGTAGTAAACTCCTATACATTTACGTCCATTTTATTTGTGCTGGATTTATGAAAAAATGCGTGTCAACAATTAGTAAAAAGGAAATAATTGAACTTGCACATGCGTACAAAGTTCTTCATTAAGCATCTACAATGGCATTAATTTTTTTAAGATATTATATATGTATATATATGAAGGATAAAAAATATGTAACTCTGAATTATACTTTAAAGCAGCAATAGCCCCTTAATTCCTCCTTTTGTTTAGGGCACTCTCCTCCCCCTTCTATTCAAAAGGAAGAAATAACTTTTTCGAAACTGTATCATATCTGAAAGCTAATTCCGCATTATGTCATCTTAACGTTCTGCACTGCATATAGTTCTTAGGTTAACAAAACATTTTACTATAAATAGTGCTTCAATCCAACTATGCTCTCATTTTCTCTATCTATGCTTCCTAGCTGAAGGATGTCTCTTTCTTGGCTGCTTCTTTTAAAAATGTGATGTGTCATCATCAAAACTGTGGGATGCAGATTTTGTTTCCCCATTGTAATCTACCATAATCAACAAGCAATAAGGATATGTTTGGATTATTAAGTGATTTTGTAATTCTTCAAAACTTTCTGGCATCTTATACCATGTAACCGAAATTTCAGTGACCTTCTATCTTCAATCCACTCATGATTTCAAAACAATAACGCCTTTCCTAGTCAAGCACTCATTTAATATCAAATTAAGTGCAACAAACTAAATTATTTCATAACATATACATATGCCTCCATATAAGTAAAACATAAACTAGAATAAGAGAAATGAAATATCTCGCTTACTATGGTTATCACAAACTCCATGATTCCCCAGAATGAAGAGAAATATCTTTTAAAACCTAGAGCAAACCACTTAAATAGCATCTCCATAAGAAATAGACATGCACATATCTTGTCTCCATAAGCAGATATCATCTCAATGTGAAGTGGTCTGTCAGATGTAAAATTCATGTCCAGAGCCTTAGAAATATTTGCAATAAATAGGTTTAATAATGCACATAACATAAAAAATACATTTAAAGGTAAACAACTCTTGAAGTTAAGGGGAAAATTCATTTTAAATTGCAGAACAATTGCAATATAGATAATTTAAAAATGGAGATTAAAACAATCATTTAAAAAAATATTTAACAGAAAAAATATACTTCAATTAAAATTGGCAGAAATCTTTTATAATATATATAGTTTATAAATGTATTATTAAATATAGATATTCCAAATGAATTTTATAATTAAAAATATAAAAATAAAAAAAATAATAATAATAATTACCAATTTGCAGCAGCTGATTATAATGATTACAATTATGCAGGCACAAAAGTAATTGCTATTAACAATCGCCAATGCATTTGTCCTAATCTTACTCCAAATATTACAGAAGTTGCAATTACGTCTGCACAAAGGAAAAATTTCGTAACAGAAATGTGGAAGACAATCCATTGCTTCTGCTGTGGGATTTTTATCTTTATACTCAGTATCATGCGTCATCTTCATTCTTCTTACTCTACTGGCATTTAAGTCTGATGTTTGCACTTCAGATACATTCCAATCCATTTTGAATATTTCTGAAAAATTACTGAAACTTAAGCATACAATAAGATATTATCTAAGTTCAGATTGCTAAACATTATTTGCTGACACTTTATACAACAAATGTTTTCTCACATTTAAAAAATATATAAAACTAGGTGTACCCGCCCGGCGTTGCCCGTGCATTTAGAAAATGCAGATAAGTGAATAGCGCAGGAATAGTAGTGTAGGACATGTAGACTGTCTCTCTCTCTTCCCCCCCCCCCCAACAAGCTACAAAAAGAAATGAATTGTAATTAATCGATTTAATGTATCGTCAAAACAGCAAATAACGCTAGAATAAAGAAATCAATTGTTTCAATCGAACGTTATTTGAAAAAAATATAAATCAGTGAGTCAAAAAAACCGTGATTAATAATTATAAATAATTTTTTAAAATTTTTCTAATTCAAAAATCGAAAATCGGGCTTCGAGGTCTGGTGGCCAGCCCTTTGTGCTTCGTTAAAAATTCCAGGTCCCTGCGTGCGATAGATTTGGCTGGAGAGCTCGGTCAGACAGACAGACAGACACATTACACTTGCTTTTATTATTATATTATAGATTGTTATTGAAGTAAACTAGAAATCATATATATATGCTTCTTACCATTATCATAACAGACCTTATAGACACATTCGATTTTGGAAATATGCAACTACATGTATTATAGCATGATGGTAATCAGTTATCAGACATGTAACCAACCTTGATCAAATAGACCATGATTAGAATTTTAAGAAAAATATTCTGAATTATTCAGTAAAAAAAAAAAAAAAAAAAAAAAAAAAGGAGAGAGAGAGACGGAAAACAAACCATATACTACTGCTTGCATTTATTTTTTAATACACAAAATACCTTATTATAATAGTAGTTATAGTACTAAGAATACACATGCAACATGAAAAAAAAAAAAAAAAAAGAATTTGAACCTTTCTTGTAAAATATATATATATATATATTACAGGATCTGGTCATCTTTAAAATACAATATTTCATTATATTTCATATTTAACATTTTGAACAAAATTTAACTTAAAATCTTAATTTTACAGAAATACTCTATGCATTTTCAGAGAATTTAAAAATCTTTCTTCGTAGAGAAGCAAAATATTAGAGATTCATTAATAAAATAGCTTCCTTTTTGAAAAAGTAGACTTGTGCCAGTCTCCTAAAATGCTGGTGCATTCCCTTTAAAATAAATTATGATTCCAGGCTGAATTTTGCCCAATTGTAAAAGTTCACATTTCTGCATATTCCTTGCATTTAACACTATTGCACATAATGCTATGAATACTACATAGCATCTTTTATATATATATATGTGCAATGTTCTTCTTATTTTAAGCTTATTTATATATCAGTGCTGATATTTATAATTGGACCTACTTGAATTATATTACATTAATAAAATTAATTGCTGATATTACATTAATAAAATATTCTTAAAACGATCATATAGTTTTCAGACTTTACCTCCAGAATCAGTTGGTTGATACCTGCAATGCCTCCCAAGAAAATGATTACATTCTAGTTGTCTCAGATGTAAAAGGCTTTCTCTTGAAGCTGTTTCACTGCCCGCAATGCAAGTATTGCGTTTCATAGGCAACGGCTAAAGAGTATATAATCAAAAATTCAAACAGAATCCAAGTGTAACTGCATCAAAAATCAAAATTGTTAATGTAAAATAATATTGCCACTTACAACAGTTTCTTGGTACGATTTTAGAAGAGGCGTCAGACTTAGAAGTCGAAATGCTCGCAATGCTTTGAAAATATTCTTTTGACCATCAAAAAATTTTATAGACAATAAATCCACCATATAGACCTAAAAAGATAAATGTGTTATGAAGCTACCATCAGACATGTTTTTACTTTGATAAAATTTGATATTAAATTTAATGTGCAAACTAAAAAGATCATCTCTAAAGGAAATATAAATAATTACCAGAAGAATAAAAAATTCAAAGCGACCTAAGTGACTTTTGAAAAATTTCTGCAAACCATAAGCCATCCATTTCAAAACCATTTCCAGGAAAAATAAGACAAAAATGCAAGGATCCATGATACTGATTACTGAATCAACATGTGGATATCTTGTTCCATAGGATCGATCTATTATCTAAATAGAAGAAATAAATAGTTTTTATAATAAAAGTTTTGAAAAAAAAGTATCTAAACATTGTTCTACATTTCTATCCTCATAAAACTAAATCCTTTACTCATCTAATTTTTGTTTCTATAAATCTTAATTTTACAGATCAGATTTAAATCTTAATCTTTACTTTCTATAAATCCAGTGAACTGTCATTAAGCTTTATTTCAAAAACTTACTTCACTGAAAGTTAATACACTCATTCATTATAATATTCTTTTAAAAAATATGGTTTATTATTATCTCCTATTATATTTTTTAAAATATACTTACAAGCACTACCACATTGAGTGCAATCACCAAAAATACAGCAGTCCTAAATAATCTTGTTTCTACAAAACAATATAATCTACATCGAACATCAGCCCAATTTTGCCATAATACAGGATTTTCATCAGCTTTGCAAAATGAACAGCAAAAATAACATAATGCAGGGCAGCAATCAGCCATATATTCAGATGACACATCTTCAATTATTTCCATTTCTTTTTGATTGCGGAGAAGTTTCTTCTTTTTACCTAAACAGATTTTTAAAAAAATTGGTGGAAATAATATATTGTAGAATGTAAATGCTAAAATATACTTAAAGATAAAATTACATGCTGTCACCCCCCCCCACAATTTTCAACTTTATTTCTGAATACATAATGAAAATCAATTAAGATAATAATTTGATAACAGAGATCTAAACTATTTATTCAATTTTTAGAATAAAAGGATAAGTTATTAAAAATACAACTAAAATATACAAATACAATAATCTAAAAAAATATACAAACTGAAATATACAAATGACATCCAAAAATTTATTCTGTGGGTAATTATAAACATTCATTCCATTTCTAGATATTTCCAATAATGATCTTTCAGAATTATAAAGCCTATGCTTAAACTATGCTTAAAAGCAGATGCATCTTCATGGGGAAATTCCTATAGGAAACTCGCTTAGTTTTGTAGCAGCCGAGAATGAAATCACAAAAACCTTATGCATACAACTCTGACACCAAGTGAAGCTAAACCAGGGATGAATTATCAGCATAACAAATTTTCTCATTAACAGAAGAAAAATATTTGAGCTTATAAAAGCACATTATTAAAATAATATATATATATACAGGAAATAATTTGGAAATTGATGGCATGTAGATATGTAAAGAAGAAGCTTGCATTCATCAAAGGTGCCTAAATATTTGTTTTATTTTTGATACATTGAGCTATTCATAACTTGGCACAGAAAGCACACCTCTTTCTGAAGAATGTTTAACATTTTTGAAGACATTACAATATGAGAAGAGACAGATCTAACTAGCAAAAGAAGTGAAGAGAAAATGTGATGTGTTCAAGATGAAATCTGTATTTAGAGTGGCTTAGTTTTGATTTAACTTCATTTTGATTGGCTAATTAATAATCTTCTAAAATAATTATAGGCTGAAGTCTTATGTAAACACCTGTATTATTAGCATCATGCAAGAAACATATGACATGATTTAATTTTGAAATGGCACGATTCTAAGCAATTTATTATAAGCAATTACTATTTTCGGTAGAGTAAATACATTTTCATAAATTTTCTCTGTCTCTTTGATGCCAATTTCCCTTTTTTAATATATTCTTCATTTCATGCTTATGTAAATTTACATTCCCAAGAAAGCTTTATGAATAAGGCTGAAAGATTTTTTTCCTAATTTTGAATTTTTCACCATTTTTTTTTCTGATTAGGCTTTCTTTATTTGCAAAAGTTTGAACTGCAATTTTGTGAGATAAAAGTCACTTTTCTGCCCCATAGAAAATTATATAAGAAAAATTAGGAGTATGTATATGTTAAGCAATAAATTAAATTTAATTAAAAATTCACTAAAATAATAACTTTAAAAAATACCTGAAACAAGCAGCATCACAAATTCATAAAATAACTGACATAAAAAACATATAAAAATGAAGAAAACAGAATTAAATATGATGGCAAGTATATTACAATCTTAAAGAATAACAGTATTGCTTTTCAAACATTATAAAATACATCTATTAATATGCTATTATTAACTTTAGAAATAAAACTCTAAAATATCGGTTTCCTAATAACAGCTGATTCAGACTTATAATAATAATGCTCTAAATAAAAAAACTTCCTCCTCTACAAATTTTGTTGTTCTTGTTGCTTGAGTCTAATATTATGCCTATGTCTTTCTAATGCATTTTTCAAATCAAAATCCAGAAAATAAGTACAAAATTTAATTCATTAACATTTATTCTATGCATACAAATTTTTTTATGTATTAAAAACTTAGCATGGATTTATTTCTAAGTACATAAAACATCTTTTTTAATTTACACATGCAGTTTTTAATGATACACTAAAAACTTAAATGAATATACATTTTCACAAAAGGTCTTTCTATTTTTAAGATGAAAGAAATAATGAAAATTTAAGAAGGGTCTCCTAGATGTGTCAAAAGATTCACTAATTAAATAATATTTTCTTAAAATTAATAAAAAATTACAGAATATAAAAAGATACAGAATATACGTAAAGAAAAGTTTTACTTTTTCTGAAAGAGTTATTAAAACTATCTTGCATCTCTGACACCATTTCACTACTCCCACTATTACTTGTATGTGGTTCCTCTATTTTAGTTTCTTTTGAATTCGGCTGTAAAATAAAAATTATTAACCACTTACATAAACCTAATTAAAACCTACAGTACTAATAGGAAATAAGATATTATTTCAAATAAGCATTATAATTTTATCTACTATAGTGTATAAAAATTAGTTTTTTGTGTATTTTATTGATGATTCTTAAACAGATAAAAAACTAGAGTTCTACAAAAATATTTTATGATTATCAATAATAACTGGTAATGTTAAATCATAATAAAATTACACATGCTTTTATAGACAAAGGGATCAATACAGTATTAAGCAAAACCATCAGATTGCTTGGGAAGAGTGATGAATATTTGTTAACTTTACATTTAACTAACCACTTCAAATTATACATAATGCTTCATGATTTTCAAACAGTACTTTTTAATGGTGCTCACAATCACTGCATTACTTAAAACTAAACATTAACCTAAAGGAATACTTTGTCTAGAATTAAAAATCAATTTAAGAAAAATTAATTTTCAGGCACATATTATAACACTATATTCTGTAAGTATAAAGAATTCATCAATAAAATTTAATTGTACTAAGTTGCTTTGATAAAATATAAGTTGTGATTCTTATTATAATTTTAATTATTCTTTTAATAAATATTAAATTACAATGAGTTGACTATGACAGCCGTCCATTTAAGGATCACACCATTTTTATTCTAGCATCTAAGACTTAAGTAAAATCTGAAATTTTGCTTTTACCTTCTACATTTCCATCTACACAGCTACAACTACCACATAGTATCTACTGCAATTTTATCTTACAGAAATTAACACCATCCAGTCTTAGTAGACTTTCAGTATTTGGCAGTTCTCCAGCAGCAATAAAAATTTCTTTAGATAATTTTAGATAAACAAATTACTTTGAGGACAAATGAAAAGGTATTGCCTGTAGATTAGAAAGCATTATACATAAATCACTGGTCAAAATGCTGATAAATATATACATATATACACACTCTACCTGATGCAGAATATCAGACAGATATACTGAATGCATTATATATAATCCTAAAACATATTGCCAATAACATATATACTTAAAATTACAAACCTTTCTTTTTGAAATATTTTCTTGCCTGTTAAGTATGATTTGAATAGCATTCTGAAGTTTATCTTTCGAATAAATACTTCTTGGATGGGATTTATAGAAAAATGTGTAGAATACAACACCCAAAAAAAGATTAATAACCTGCAATACAGAAAATATTCATAACTAGTACAAATTAAACTATAGCGAAAATGTAAAAAGCCATAAAATATTTCACTTATTTGTACTATTATATATATTTAAAATACTTGTGCAGTAGAGTAATTAAATATTAATTCAAACTTACAGATTCCAGTCGAAATGTAATTATTCAAAAGAATATTCCACCCAAACGAAACTATATATAATGACAACTGATTCATTAAAATGTAATTCTACACTACTATAATAATGATAGTAATAAATAAAAAGTTTAAAATGATATATAATGCTTATCAAACACTACATAGCTAAATTACATGAGTAGTTGCCAAATAATTTAATTATTAGCTTTGTTCCATACAGTGCATCTATATACAACATTCTTTGTTTATAGTTCGTTTAAATATTTAAGAAAGTTGATGTTCAAAATATATTATTAAAGACATTTCCAGGAAATAACTTAATATAGTGAAACAGGTTCAAAAAGCAATAAAAGTATAAATCTGCTGATTACTGCAAGATACAAAATTGACTTCTAAAACAATAAAGGGAAAAAAATCAATGTTTCTTCCACGAAATTTATTAACAACACATCTGTGGCAAGTAGTAAAGCAATTTATTAACAAAAACAAAAAAAGAAGAAGAAAAAAGAAAAGAAATGAAAAACTCAAAACCCCTAAATTAAGAAGAAAAAAAAAAAAAAACCCTATGTGCAAAAAAGGGAGGAAGATAATTTTAAACAAGACTTTACAAGACCTACTACTGTTATCTAAATAACAGTAGCAGTAAACAATATTATGCACTAAGAGTATTTCATGTGCCTGGTAAATTATAAACTTATCTATAATTAAAAATGCATCAAAATAATTATTTCCTTTTATTTTAATTTTAAAATTTTCAAAAGGTAATCAGTAACTATTTAAGGACATTCATTAAAATAGTTCCTACAGATTCTCTTGAAAATTTTTGATTAGTTTTCAAATTCGTGAGAGAGAGAGGTGGCATAGCGGCACCACAGGTCCAGGGTTCGATCCCCGTGCTAGGCAAGGTTGACTCAACCTTTCATACCTTGAGTAGGTCAATAAAATGAGCACCAAGTTCACTTGGAGACTAAACACTGGGAGTCCTGTGACAAGCTGACCACTTGTCCAGACTAGATGCAGAAGCACCTTGGAGCCCACAGTCTAAGAAGCAGATATCAGGGCACTGCAGGCCATGGCTCTCTAAGGGCTGTTTTTGCTGCCGAGTTTTTTAAAATTCATACCTGCTTTGGCTATTCTAGGGATACTTCTTTAAATGTGTTATAGATAACAGTAAAAACATACTACAAAAAATTAAAAATTCCTGAGAATTTTTGAAATTTCTGATTTTTATTACTATTTACAGTTTCCTCCAAATAAAGCAATATAACTATGACTATTTTACAGCATACAAAAAAAATGCAAATAACATTGCACTGGAGTGTACTATTTATTAGAATTACTTTATATGAAGAAATAAAATGCATATTATTATATATTTAATCATTGCGTTTAAAATATTTTAATACAATAATAATACAACTCAGTATAGTTGTTGAAAAACTGAGATTACTATACAGGAAATTACAGATACGTATTAATACTAAAAATCAAACATCAAAATTTAATATTTGATGATGAAATGAATGTAATATGAATAATGCAAATGAATATAACATGTTTGCATTCATTTACATCTGTAACTTATTGATTTTGGGTGATGGAAGTGCCAGTATGCTGAAACACATGTACACAAAATCACAAGCATAACCTATGCTGTATTTTTTAAAATTTTAGTCTACAATTGGTTATTACATGGAAAGGGAAGGATGCCCCGTAGAAGACTTTCAAAGGGAAGCTGCTTTGTATCTATGTTACACATGGGGAAAACCATGAAAACACCCATGCAACCGGCCCATTTGTTGGGACATGAGTCCCAGACCAAACAACCAGAGTGCAAGCGGCTTTAATCAGAGTGGGACACCTAATTTTTACTTAAAAAAAGAAAGAAAATTCTGTGAAATTAATTTTCCATTAATTATATATGATTAATTACTAAAATTTATACGGTATTTTCTCTCTTCTTTCCACATGCCTTTATAGTGGAACTAGAAGCACATTCGATGCATATTTCAGAGGTCCATGATTCGAGTCAGTGAGACAATGCACATTTTTTCATGTTTCCAGGTTCAAAATAACTTAACGACTCTACAAGTGACATCCAAACTATAAAACAGTAACTTCTGATTTTTTTATGCAAGTTGGAACTAAGTAACATTGTTCAAATTGTGTTATAAATATTGTTTGTTAACGTCATTTATAGCTTAGTTTCTTCATTTTTTGATGTTTATTCTTCAATTATTTAAAGAGAGTTCTTTTTATTTTGAATACTGATTTAACTTATGTAACTAAATGAATTGTTTCTGCAGGTTACACTGTTTTACATATAAATAAAATGTTAACAAATTTCTGTAAATTCCAATTCCTGCATTTCTGTAATTTACCTTGAATTAACCATGATTTTGAATTAATTATAGACATCTCCTCAGTTAATAGGTATTTTACTCAATTCTTAAATAAATGCATATTTGTGTCTCTTGAAATTTGTGTTAAGAATCCAAATATAAGAAACAGCAGAATTCTGAAAAAAATTCAAGGGGGGGGGACTCTTCTTTTACATTGCTTTTTTTGGCAAATTTGGGAATCTAAGGTAAGCCTGTAGAGATGAAAAAAAAAATCTAGTCACCTCATTATTCATGAAAACTAAAAAAAAAAACATGTTAAAAGGTTTCTGTGACCTCCAGTAATTTTTTACAGTATTTCCTTAACCCTTTCCGGTGCAGCATGTTCACTGTGAACACACTAAAAACATTCCCTCTTTAGACATTTAAAATAATCAATAAAGATTACGAAAACTACACTAATGGTTACTTTTAATCTCTTTTATGAATAATAGATGGCAGCACCACACAAGCAAATCACTAATGTTGAGTTGAGATATATTCTGTTTTTAAAGACACTGATTTTTCAAAGAAAAGTTTCAGATTTTTTTTAAATGTAAAGAATATCAATGAAAAAAAAATCTTTATATAATTTTGTTGTTCGTATGCTAATATACCTATTCTGTATTCTTTTAATTTTTATCTTTGAAATATTGCGTATAGTGCAGCCTTCAGTGTATGGTGTCTTCGGATTGAACACACTGTACTGGTAGCGCCTGTTACGTGGGAGTGAGTCACAGAATCTGGTCTCGTGCTTCGAACACGGGGGAGGCTGAGACCCCAGATTTATTTATACAGTCAAAAGTCTTCAATCCGGACTCGTCGGGACTTCAGCGATTAAGGATTATCGATTTTTCCGGATTATAGATCATCAGTTTAAATCTGGTAAGATGGCATGCAGAAATTATAAAATTAAAAATATGAAACCGTAATTTATGAAATAAAAAGCAATTATGATCTAAAGGGTATCAAAATTTACAAAAAAAAAAGCTTAATATTTATTTGGTTACTTTATTAAACATTTCTTTCAATGCACGCATGCGTAAAGCATATATTACACATAGTGGAAATTAGAAAATTGCAACCAGAAAACTATTTGATGTGTACTCCTGATATTTATAATGATGAGGAATTTGATTTAAATCATACCAAAGACAGAATACATCGAGATGAAATAGTACTACATTTAGTACGGAATTATAAGCTGAATAAAATAAAAACATCAGCTCTGAAGATAAGGATAGTGCTGACAGATCAACTTCCAGTTCATTGCGCTCCGCTACGCCCCCCACCACCCGCAGAGCAGTGTGAAATTGATAAACAGATTTCGGAATGGTTAGAGAAACAAAGGATATGCTTTTATCCATTTTTTGTAGCAATTCCACTTTTTCTTTGATGGACATCGAAACATACTTTTGCTTTGTAGATCCGTTGGCAGCTCCAGCATTGGAAATTCTATTTGACATAATCGAAAGTTCAAGCTTACTTTTATAAAATTACTCTAACTGTCTGCAAAAAATAATAAGTCGGATCCAATTCGAAGATTAAGGAACAACGCAATCTGCAACATTAACTGAAATAGAAAATTAGATAATTTTAGCTTAGCTTATACCATTCGTTATACATTAAATACGCATGCGTAAACGTATTATGCGCATGCATAAAGGTAATATGTGCATGAGTAAATGCCTATGTGCATGCATGAACGCATTATGCGTTGACGCATGCGCAGAAAGTTTGTAGCTTTGAGGTCCGGATTATAGATCATTCCAGATTAACGACTTTTGACTGTATTTGTTTTTATTCTTTTCTGTTTTTGGTTTTGAAGACCCTGGTGCTTTGTTTTCACTTAGCAATTTGATTTTCAATGAAAGCAGGCCCTTTTCTTCTCTTGCTTTCATCATGCGTAGTTTGCTTAGTTTTGATATCTGGAGATTTTTATTTGTATATATATTTAATAATTATTTTTTGATAGTCAATAATTAATTGTAAACATTATAGAATTTTAATTATTTTTCTTATAAATTTTAAAATTGTGTAAATGGCTCGGAGAGGCCTTAGCATTGCCGAAGCAATGAGAGTTTCCTTTTCTTTCACAGTTTTTTTTTTGGGGGGTGTCGAGTAGCAAGCCTCCCCATGGTGCACCCTAGGTTATGCTAAATCTGCTACAGAGATCAGATTCTACTGTTTTTCAATCAGAGTATTTTACTGTAATACATGCTTCACAGCAATGCTCACCTATCGTAGCTCATGTGGCTTAGTGTGTTCGCTTTGGACATATCCACAAAATGGAAATGGTTTGTGCAATCATTGTAAAATTATACCTGGATACTCTCCTATGCCTAAATAGACTGCCTACAAATTGTTTTGGTAAAATTCCAACTTTAAAGAGTAATGTGCCAGAAAGGGTTAATCCCCAGTTGGCTTTTCAAAGGGGGAGTATCTAGGGTATTTTCTCTCTTCTTTTCACCTTCATGCTGTAATTGGAAGCACACATAGCACACATTTAAAAGGTCCACAGTTTGAGTCCTGGTATGGGCACTGCAAACTTTTGACATCTCTTGCTTCAAAATAACATACCGACTCTACATATTAATTATGCATGTTTTTCTGTTATGCATGCAAGCTAGTTTTAGACAGAACTAAGCTTAGATGTGTGACTGCTAATGAAAAAAAAAAGAATGAATAGGTTGGGGCTTTGTCCTTGTAACTGTATGTGGTATGCCCGACAATGTGACTAAATGTCAATTTGAAATTTAACATTTAACGATGAATACATTTGAATTACAAAATTATAAACAACAGAAATTTCCTGCAAATATCAACTTTTAGACTTCAGATAGAAAATAAATATAGATTCGAATTTTTCCTTTATATTGTTGTTGTTATTGTTATACATGTTTTGATAAGTATTCAGCAAGTGAAATTTAAAATTTGGTTTTATTTATTTATTTATTTTGCTGATTTTTTTTATTATTTTTAGTTAAAAATAGTTCTTTAACCCATCAACTGCTTTTAGATCATACATTCGGCCCACATGCAATTTTAGTTTGAGACCACTGGCATGTAATATATAATTATGCCACACCAGTTTGTTCACTTATTGAAAATGTTAAAATATTTAATAGTACCCACCACAAAATTTCCAATGAGCACAAAAATCAGCATAAGCAAATCACTTGCACAAGAAGTGAACAGCACCGTATTAACCATAGGTTGTTTCCAATCTCCACACAGCATGCAGAAAACCAAAAGGAAGGAACTATAACAGTCTTTAAACCAACGAGGAGGTTCTTGCCTTGGAAATCTAATGAAATAAATTGCATTTGGAACTAAGATGCTTCTGTACTTGAATTAATTCATCAGTATATAAAATCAACTGATTTAACTTCTTTATTTTGATATTAATTCTAGTTACGATAAGTTATAAACATTTTGAAAATAAACTTCGTCAGCTATGGAGTTTATTATAAAATCTTACAGAACATACAAAATCATTAATTTTTGCTTTCTGTACAAAATAATAAATTACATAAGTCTTTAAGCACAATAAAACTGTAATACAACAATAATTAACATAAAAATATCAAACTTTTTATAAGTTACTGTAGCTGATCACTTTCCTTCGATCTGTTAATCTTCAGACACATTTTATAAATTGGTGCAAAATGATTTTTTTCCATTTCAATATTTCCCATGTTCTTTGTATATTTGAATATGCCTTATAGTGTAATTAATATTTTCGTAATATGAATAAAACTCTGTATTTCAGAATTTTTTTATAATCACAAACACACACACACACATATATATAATTCAAATATAGCATTATTATGTACATAGAACAATTTAAAATTCAAATTTCATGATTCTAAAAAATATCACCAATATGCGCTGAACTCGTATGTACTCACTAAAATAAAGCTCTGTAAAATTAACTAAGTTGTTATTCTTTCACTTTTATTATTTCCTTATTTTCGATATTATAATTTATTATTTATTATAATTTATAATTTATTAATAATTTATTATTTATTTCTTAAGTGACAATAGGTATGTCACTTAAAAAAAAAGTATTAATCAGCTAATCTTTTTCTTGAACCTCTTCCTTTAGAAATGATACGTACCATGTAATTTTTTTCTCTCAATGACACAGAAGTACCACATAAACACTGTTAGCACACCTATTCATATGTGCATCTTAGCACACTACATGCCATTTGCATCCAAATACAGAATAGCCTAACAGGCCACTTATATTAGTTTGGATACAATGGCATGGAATCAGATTCAGCCACATATATTCTAATGGAAATAAATTATATGTATAACTGAGTAATGGTTAAATAACTAATGGTTTTAGGTGCATTGGTGAAGAAAACTTTGCATAAAACTTAGGTGCTTAAAATTTTGGCCGGGGGGGGCATGTAAAAAACAGAGAACTTTTTGTCTGCACATATGTTATGGTCCAAATCAATGCAAATTAATTAATGTCTAAAAAAAACATATATATATTTAACATTATGTTTTGCAAATATATTATCTGGCATTCAGATAAATTTATGATACATTAATCAAAAAAATAATAGTACCTAAAAACAAATAATTTTTGGCATTATCATTTTTATGTGGTGCTGTTAAATGTGTTAAATAATATACAGTAAAAATAATACACAGCATGTAATTCCCCCCTCTCAACATTCAGAAGGTAAATTATATAAGTATGCATATAAATATCACATATAATACACATGTAATGTAGTAAAAGTACTTATGTGAGTTTGCAAAATGATAAGAAGCATTAAAATATGGATATAAATTTTTGGCAATCATGCAAAGCTTTTTTCCTCAAATTTCATTAGAGGTATATTTCTACTTCAATCAATTCAGTTCTCACTTTGCGGCAAGGCAAAAATATACAAAAACTCAATCTGCATTAAAAACTAAAATACAAAAAAAATTAAAATAACAAATACAATTAACAAAAAAAATTTTTACAAGTAAAATCAGAGTTTCTATTCAAAAACAGCATTAAGACAAAAGTTTTGGTGAATAATGTTGAAAGTTAACTTTTGGTCACACTGGAAAAAAAGACAATGAAGTTGGTGCATCAACTGACATAATTCTCTAATCTACTACAAGTTTCAAACGCAAACAAATGGCAAATGCGTTAGCCTTAGCACCACTCTTAAATTGTTCATAATTCCACAATTATTACATGTAGACTAAAGGCATAAAAACCCTAAATGGAACATAACGACATAATTCAATCACTGCATAAAAATGCACCATTTACCAACATATAAGAATAAAAAAAACTGAGCTTACCAAGTAGGGTAACAAAGTGGCCATGTGTATATATATATATATAATTAAAGAAAGGAGAACAAACTAAAAAAGACCTTTGTGGTCAAGAACTTTGCGCATTGAGTTGCAAAATTTAGAAAACAAGTTAAAAGAAAATTCTAAGTGCTTTCGCTAAAAAGTAGCTTAGATACTGTGGTTCCGGTGAAAAATTTTAACATAAGTAAAATAAAGTGCAATGAAAGTGTAAACATTAAATAAACAATATTATCACTAGAATATTTACAAATAAAATTCAAATCTAATTGTAAGTAATATGTTGATCAAGGTAAGCCAAACTTTAAACAATAGAATAAAAGTGTGACATACGACTTAATCAAAAATACAAAAACAAAAAAGCGGTAAATGGTAGATCAGCCCAATTCAAATCTCATTATTGACTCTTCAAGGGAAATTTTATAATGATATTTGAATCCAGCTACCGTAATTTCGCGCGTATAGTCCGCGGACTATCTGTGTTTAAAATGCGAATTTTTGAAGCTGCGGACTATCCACCAGTGCGGATAATACGCTGGTTGTTCACGGTTAAAAAATCGTTGAAATTTAAAAAAACACGCTGTCATGAAACTGCCGATGATCAAACATAAAAAAAAAAGCGCGAGATTCCAAGAAAACATTCGTATGTATCGTATCGATAGTAAACCATAGAGCATAGTGCAGAACGAATGAGTAGTAGCAAGTAGAGCTCCTAAAATCCAGGCTGGCGCATCAAGCGATGCTGGATATGAGCCAAAGAAAGTTTTTGTATGAGCACTCACTTAGCGCAACCAGAGTCTTGTATCCCAGTATCCTTCGCACTGCTTTAATAGCGCAACTGACTGCCAGGAGGGGGAAAAGTAATTGATGCGTCAACTCGGTTTTTAGGAGCCATTAGTAGCAAGTACCTGGAGTACAAAAAAAAAAAAAAAAAAAAACGTGATTCGTTTACCTATAGCGTGGTTTGGCAACACCGAGTGAGTGGGGTCGAAGGTCAAATTTCATTACCACTTATGACGAGTATAGCACGTTGCACAGTATTTTGACTTTCATCTTCGATAATGTTGATGAAACATCGCCGGGAAAAAGATGGAAATAGAGAAGCGAGCTGTTATTGGTTTAATCCTAGTATTCGGTGCACACGGGATTTGGCTACTTTTGGCGACTTTATGATGAGCAGTAAAAACGGGACATATACGATGAGTAGTTGACGGGTCATTTAAAAAAAATATATAGTTTAACATAGTATATACTACATATATAGTATATATACTATGTATATACACACATAGTATATAGTGCATAGTATATATATATAGACGTTCTTTGGATCATTTTTGGTGTTGGCGATAATTTTCAAAATCGCGCCAAGGCTGCACCGTATACTAGGATTTTACCCCGTTACCCCCGTTATTTTTGAAGTGGACGAGAAAGCGGTGAGAAATTGGCGCAAACAAAGGATGTGTTTAAAAAGCATGGGAATATTGCCATATTAAAAAAACGTAATTTCGGACGTATAGTCCACGGACTATCCGGTGGTGCGGACTATCTGACGATTTTTGAAATTTTTTTTATATAAAATCTTGCGTGCAGACTATACGATGGTGCGGACTATACGTGCGAAATTACGGTAATTCCATATCACGTTTCGTCAAAACAGACAATTGAAACTGTACACGAAACTCTTTTTTAAATATTAACTGAAAAAAGTCAAAAACTTTAGTCTCAATTCTCTGTTCCATTTCCTGACACGTCCACTTGACAAAACACATTAAGGTGTACGAAAAAACTATACATAATAGCCTGGTTAGGCAAATGTACAAAATAAAATAAATAGCGATTTGCTATTAGTCAAAAATACAAGATTTTTAGGGAGGACCTACTAGTTTATAGAGTTTAAACTTTGTGAATGTAGTTAAAAAATTAAATTTAAAAATTACAATTAAAATAAAAAGTGAAAAAGACCACCAAAATATTGAATGGGTCTTGCGATGACCAAAAATCAATACAAGGGAAAGAAAAAATTTTTAAAAAACAGACCTGGAACGGCTACATCTTCGTGCTGGACCCATGTTAACTCAAAGGGACGACTGCCTCGAGAATGGAAGTAGCCAACCAACTAGGCAGGATGACGTAAAAGGGAAAGAAACGTCATGATGAAAGAGCCAATGAAAAGTGACTGACCTTTGGCAAAAACATGACTCAGTGTGAGGCTGGCAATTTGCTGAAGAATGTTTGGTTTGGTTTGGTTTGGTTTATTTAATTATGGCAAAGCACACTAGGGCTATCTGCCTAAAGGGAGGGATGCCTTTGTGGAAGACTTTCTAAGGGAAACTGGCTCGTATACACGTTACACATGGGAAAACCACAAAAACGCCCATGCAGTCAGCCCGTTCACGGGATTCAAGCCTCGGACCGAACTACCAGTGTTCAGCAACTTTACCGCTCGACCACTGCTGAAGAATGAAGAAATAGTTCAAAATGGCGTCTTGCTCGATGAGTTTTGAGGAATTTGGGTGAAGGTGAAAGAAAAATAGCTAACTCTACAAAATGTTAAAAAATGGCCACAGAAAGCAAGAATAAATTAGAAAAAATTGTAAATTGTTAATTAAAGTCGTAATTCTTCAAGCTAGAGGGTTATCAAGCTACTTGAAACGAAATGTTCCATAAAATCAATAACAGGATAGATATGGCCAGAAAAGCTTAAAATCTATTCAAGAATAGAATTAGAAGTACTGTGCCAAATTTGAAGAGTAAAATTGAAGCTGTGAGAGGAATTAATTTTACATTTATACAATAGATTCTCTGAACCAGCCCTCCCCTTTACACCGTCCCTTAGGGCTTTAAGTATAAAATTTCATTATCTAACTCAAAAAATCTAAAAGAAAAAGTTAATGACAGCTTTTTTTAAAGCATTTTTAATGACTTTTGTAGGAATTAGGTTGTTCTTCAAGATAGTAACAAAGTAGAGTACTTCTTCTTGGAAGTGTTTTATAGCATTACAGATCCTGTTAATTCTAAGCAGTTCTGCATTAATTGTATTGATTATAACCCTTTTAGAAATGATGGAATTCCAATTAGTTAATTTAAGTGTAGGAAAGTTGAAATCTCTTTGTTTATCGTAGATTTTCAAAAAAATTGTAATCTAGAATATGTAAATCAAGGTAGATTATATCATTTTGCACAGTATTAGTAGTATTAAGTTGGAGGCAAAAAGGGTAGTATATATATGTATATATATATACATATTTGGTGCAGCCAATTGAAACTAAAAAGGGAGGTACAATTACAAGTTACCGCAATCCCATATACAAAATTTCAACAAAATTTCAAACAAGGTTTCTTGTTTTTGAGTTATTACATATGTACATAAGTACGTACAGATGTCAAAGGAAAAAATCCCTTTTGAATCCATTTTTAAATCAATTTCAAAACCCATTTTGGAAGAAAAAAAAAAGGGGGGAGTCCTTTATTCTGTCTGTATGTACAGATATCAAGCAAAAACATGATTCAGGTGGAGTCAAGAGCAGTCAAAATGGATATTTTCATTGAAATATGACACCTGAAATTTTTTACGATTACAATACTTACTTTACTTCATACAAAGAAGTAAAAATAGCATTTCAGAGGCATTTGTCTAAGATATAATTAGTTTGGTTTGTTTGATTATGGCAAAGCACATGGGGGCTATCTTTCTATCTTTCTCAGAGGAAGGTTGCCTTGCTAAGGGAAACTTGCTCATATCCACATTACACATAGGGAAAACCATGAAAATGCCCATGCAACCAACCCATTTGCTTATAATCAAACCCAGGTCAAACTACCAGTGCTCAGCAACTTTACCACTCAGGCACTAAGAACTGAATAACTAAAAGTAGTAAATCACATAATTATCTAACTACACAAACATATGGCAAAACAGATACTTATTTTTTATATTTAAATTATATAAAGAAAAGACATAAACGCCAATAATTTTGAGTTTCAAACCATGAGCATAAAAAAAAAATTCCATACCTCTCAGAACTATGAAAATATTCATAGCCATATAGTTGCATTCCAGTAACAATGCAGATTATTATAAATACAAGCAAAATAGAAATAGGATGTTTAAACAAGAAAAGAGAATTTGCCAGAATGTGCTTCAAATAGAGGCATGTGTGACAGCATATGAGAAGGGTTAGCTGTAAAACAAACAAGATACATAATTAAGCAGTTGAAAAGTAGAGCAAAAAAAAGTGCACCAGATTTGCTCTTTACCTAGGATCCCAGGTCAAGAATAAATTTTAGTACAAAAATTACAAAGTAAATTGAAACAATTTATAGAAAAATGTTAGTACATAAAACAAAAATACTGAATTTTAAATAGTTCAATGGATTTTTTTGGGGGGGGGATGAAAAGAATTTGGAAGTTTTGCAAGTATAGATTAAAATTTAAATAAGTTGTTAATTCCAAAATCAGCTATAGTATTTCATATACACACATAAATAAATAATCATAAATACATAAAAACGTTTCTTTCTCATGAAATGGTATCTCTTAGAGTGTATATTTTCCTTAATTCGACAGTTACTTTTATACAGCAATAATAATTATGCTCTTATGAATTTGCTATTGGTTCACTTCTAATTTTCATCTTATATAGCTAGTTTTGTTGCTAAAATTTTAACTAATAAACTGAGAAGCATCAGTTGTTACTCAGCTTTCATTTTAATAGAATCAAAGGATGATTTGCTAGAATTTTATAGTTATAAGTCTAGACCTGAAAATTCAACTTCTGTTTTTGAAAATGCTAAAATGTTCTGCTAATTGGATACACAGTTTCCAGGCAAACTGAAAACTTATTATTATTATTATTTTAAAGAAACATACATAGGCTTAATGTTAAAAATATCACAGTTGAAAGTTTTGAAAAATGTAGAACATAAATTTTGCTCCCTAAAAAAATTACATTAATAATGATGAACCTGAAGAAAAGTACCTGATTAAACAGTAAAATATTATTATTATTATTTTAAGGAGATACACATCATGGAATAATGTTGAAAATACTGCAATGCTGAAAGTTTCAAAAACAGTTGAAATACTTCGTATTTCTTTCCCTAAAAATTACATTAATGATAATGAACCTGAAGAAAACTGATGAAATTATAAAATTAGTTTAGAATAACAATAATAATAAGAATTTTATTATTATTAAATATGGGTACTAAATACAAAAATACTACAGTGAATATCTTATACTTTCCCTAAAAGATTCTATTAATTTTAATGAATCAGAGGAAAACTATCTATCTGATTAAATGATAAAAGTAGTTAGTGTTTCAATGATATAGAATTAGGTAGAGAAAAATTGATATTACAAATTTTTAGAGACACAGGAAAAATTAATTAAGTGTATGATCACGCCTGAACAAAATGCAAGCTTTACAGTGATTAGCTATGCTATGTATTAGATTTTCCAGGAGTTTCTGCATTAACAAAATGTATTTCTGATTAATAGCACCTGAAACTTTGCACAATGTTAGGTATGGGCTGAAGTGACACAAGTTGGCATTCCACACATGTTCTATTGGATTTATATCCAAACAGCATGTGAATGCCACTCCATCCACTGAATCCATTCACCCTTAAGGTAGTTACTAGCACAGTCCATACAATATCATCAAGCATTATCGTCCATTAGGAAGACATTCTTTTTTATACCTCCAAACAACCTGATATAAGAATCAAGAACTTCATCTTTGCATATTTCAGAAGTCACAGCTGCACTAATTAAAATGTGCAGGTCAGTATGGTCATTCAAAACTATGCTCACCAAGACCATGATTTCACAACCTTTGTACCAATGGCTTTCATTGATGTTTCCAAGTTTGTTGTGTTATGCTCTCTTCAGATCACAAACCAGAAATCATTCCCTAAACAAAAGCAAGACTAATCAGTAAAAAGGATTCAGCTTCAGTCCATGGTACTGCAATCATGATGATTTCTGCCCCATTGCAACCAAGCACATTTCTAAGCCCAAGTAAACAGGATATAAGTCATGGGATTCCTAGCATACTGTCCTCTTTTATGCAGCCTTGCCGCTCCTGGTATATCTGGATAATGTAGTTCCTGTAGCTGTAGCAAACTCTATTGTAATTTGAGTTGATGTCAGTTGCCTATTTCTTCTAACAACTGATGCCAAATAATGGTCCCACGAGTCTGCTGTGGCATGTTTTCAACATTGGCCTTGTATCTGCTGCATACATTACCAATGTCTTTAAATTGTTTCCAGATTCTTGACAAAATGCTTAGCTACTTTTAGATCTTTATGGGAAACCTGTGTTAGTGCCTGTCCTGTTTCTTTCTCCCAATCACATCCATTTCTTACAATCTATCAAATGCCTTCTCAATGACATGATCTGTCTTCCACATGCAAATATTTGATTTAGTTACACATGCAGTCCTTAAAATAATAATTTAAAGAACCCACTTACACACCTTTCCATGTGTGGCAAAAGAATAGAAGCAAAGATTTACATATTTCTGAGTAGTGAATATAAATCTCATGAGATAATATGATAATGCTAAATTTGAACTACCAGTCAATTACCTTTCATTGAACTTATTAAAAGGCACTTTTTTATAGTTGTTCTTGCAACTTTTCCTGCCAGTGCATATAAAAAATACTATGCAAGCGCACTTTCAAAAAATGTTGTTCATTAATTTTAGCTAAAGTAAATTATTTTGTACCTTAGGCACACATATAAAACCTCAAAAAATCCCAAAAAGGAATCCATATATATAAAGTTAAACCATGACCTGTAACTGTAAGCAGATTTATTTACAACCATTACCTGTAACTGTAAGCAGATTTATTTACAACCATTACCTGTAACTGTAAGCAGATTTATTTACATTCACAAATTTCTTTTAAAAATATATTAATAATAAAACATAATATTTTTACTTAGCATTAATTAAAAACAGCATGCAAATGTTACGTTATCAAAAAACAATACAGTAATATTGCTACAAACACACATAAGTTACACTTCACATATATATTTATTACTAATTTAGACTTTTATTAATTTACCAATTTATATGTTCGAAGAGTGAAAAGAACAGGATTTTCAATTTGGAGTAGAAGCATTTCTGTACCACCAATGATTAAAACTACACAATCAAATGCATTCCATTTACTTCTGAAATATTCACGAGGAGTGTAAGCGATCAACTTCAACAGTACTTCTACCAAAGTAATCCCTCCAAATATCTGAAAAAGAATTTCAGACATTTATATGGCATTGTTGCATAACAAAAATAATTTAGTCGTATAATTTTAGAGTTAAATTTCATCAAACATAAACTCAGGAAGATGTGCTATGTGATAAAATTTCAATGGAAAAATTGCCTAACCACGCTTTTCCTCAGATTTCAGAGTAACAATGACTGTAAGTAAGGCCTGAAAACTAAGGTAATAAATTTTAGGAAAAATTTTCCTATTTAATTTTATTTAAACACTTCAATTTCATATTCTGCAATTAAAAATTTTACTTAAACACTCCATAACTGTTTATATCCATTCAATAATCATTAACTTTTCCCTAAGAAATATAACACAACTCAAAAATTTTAAAATACATTTTCTGTAACAATTTATTCAACTTCTTACACGCTGAATATATGTCACCAAATTTAAAATCATCTCTTTAAATATTTTAATATGACCATCATTATTAACATCACAAATTTATGCTGCAGTAAGCAACAAGAACAAATGCCGCAGCCCAACAATAAGAACCTGGTCAGTTACCCACCCCCCTTTTTTGGTGGGGATGTTTTCTTGATAATTATTGCATTTCTAAGAATTGTTACACATTTTTCTTTTTGTGTATATCTAATTGTTTTTTTAAGATATTTTTTTAGGAAGTAATCATGAAGAACCAACCATACTAAGTAAAAATGGCAGCTTTATCTTAGTAGTCAGAAGAAATTATTTTTCACATTAAGTCATATTACAGTATAATTTAACGATATGGAAGGCTATACAGTCTTGGTGAAACACATAGCTCCCATATGGGTTAAGTCTCTGAACTTCTTTAATCATATAAAATAAAACCTTATTTTGAGAGTAAAAACAATTTGATTTTGCTTTTAGCTCACAAATGGCTAAGTTAGGCCTGGTGTTGACATTCCAATGATATGCCATGATACCAGAAGATCTTTTCAATTTTAAAAACGTTGCATCTTTCTAAATCTATGCCCGGTCTATTTTAACATGCTCCACACTAAAACAAAACAGAACAGAAACATTCGAAAGAACATAAAATTAGCAATGGTAAATATAAAATTAGCAAAGAAACAACCTTATGTCTGGCATAGATTTAGTCAAGAACTCAACTGATTTTGAGAGCAAATTGAGTCTTTCATATTCCTTTGCTCCTGATGATCAGGGACTATACCTGTTTGCTCTTGAAATCAAATGAGCTTTTAACTAAATCTATGTCAAACACAAGTTTGTTGCTTTGCTAATTTTTGTGCTATATACTAATTTACTCAGTACATCAGATATATGAGACGAAGTCTCATCAAATGATATTTCATAGCATTCTCTATAATAAGAATGATACCAATGCTTTTGAATGGCTGCTACTCTTAGTTACAAATTGTTTGCTAATGTTTTTTATCCCAATTTATTTGTCATAATGCATGTATGACAAATACTAATTTTAACATAAATTCATTTTAAGGTAAGGGTTTTTCTCTACTGAGAGTTAGACTAAAACTTTTCTTTTTATCTGATTTCAATATTTACTTTTGTTCATATTTTATCCCTTTTTTGAGCTGTTAATAGTATTGTAATTTTTTAATGTTAATTTTACAAGCAGGTATTAGAAAAGTTTTTTTTTTTTAATGTCTAAATACTATACGTAAAGCATATTTTGGAAATTCCAGCCTAAAAAAAATCTTAGTCTCTCATTTTTGTCTCACAAAATCTTGTTTTTCATTCTTTGAACCACATTCACTTTGTGAAGCTATAAAATGACTATCAGAAAACAGACTTCTTGAATAAAATTGAAATATAATATGGCTCAAATCTCATTATTTAGAATGCAATGCCACCAGAAAGTGGTTGCATATATTTATTCATTAACATGAAATGATTTTTCGCATACATTTCAATATTTTATTTCTGCTTATTCAAAAAAATACAAACATATAATATATTTTAAATTATGTTAAATAATTTTAAACTTGATAAAAAAACTTTTAAAAAAATAAAAGCTACACATTATTTTAAGACTGAGGGACCTCTTTTTATAAATAGCAATATAGGTATTTAATACCACAACATATTAATACTCTATAGCATCGGTGGCCAAAGAGCGGCGCACGAGCCTGATATGGCTCTTGCAGGCAATTTGTGCGGCTCGTGCATATAAATATATGTATGAAATATGGTAAACTAAAACTATTCAGTGTTCAAAAAGAAGTAATTAATTAGTTTAGACTCTTTCTACAAAGTTATCAGGGATTTCTTTCTATTTAAAACTTCCTCCACTATTTGTATAATGATGTGAATATGAACTTGTGGCTTTTAGAAAATCTAGAAGCGGCCATCGAAGATTCCTGAATTCAAACGTGCGGCTCTTACTAACATTATATATATACCACATATATAAATTAAAGTAAAAAGAGCAAACGATAAAAGACTTAAATATATATATAATAGTTTAATGTCGTTTTTAAGTGTTTTATATTCTCTTGATAGATATATACTAACTAATAATATGAGACATTGTTTTATATTATGAGTTAGCATACGTTTATCAATTCTCCCTAAGTGTAACTGAGGCAATGACTATATTAACATATTTTAAACATTTCAATTAAGGCCGAATCAGGCTGCGAGTTTTATTATTATTTTATATTGGGTGAATGCTGGCCATGAGGAAAACAAAGCAATGTTATAGAAATAAATCAAAAGAGGTAAATCACCAATTCATTGTAAGTACAACAAGATAGTAAATTTAAATGCATTTTCTCACCCCTGTGAAAAATGGGATACAGACTGTTTCCATAGGAAGAAAACTGTAGACTTTCTAATGGGAGATAGATGTTTTTGAAGCAGACAGACAGTATAACTGCCATTAGAATAATTGGTCAATATTGATAGATTTTCATTTTCATCATTCATCACAAAAATGCATTCATTTAATTATATTCATATATTATAGCAAAAAAAAAGGTTTGCTTTTGTTTCTTAGATGCACCTTGTTATTATATGCTCTGAAATAGCTTTTAACTTGTTATTTCAGAGTAACAAAATTCCATAAAATGTCAGAAGCAACAATTTTAGATACGAAGAATAATATCAAAAAATGCTAATTTTATATATTCAGAATAAATAAACAATCACATACAATTTTAACAGAGGAACAGAAAACACATAAATTATGCTCACATAATAAGCAAGTCTAGCAATCTCTGGAGAAATGAGCTTCAAACTGCTGTACTGAAGCATGGTAATGCATAAATGTGTAGCAATGGAAAAATAGAAAATTAGCTCAATCAAAGAATGTGATAATAATGACTTCAGACTTTGCTGAACTGGTGAAAAACAATGTGAAACTCCATTTTCCTGAACAGACTGCACAGGAGATTCTGAAAATTAAATCTTAATTACTTTTAAATAAACACAAAATTTTGGCAATGACAATACAACAAATCTTCATGCATAGTCAACACTGCATAAAATATGAATAACTGACATTAAAAATACTGAACAAAGAATCATTTTATAATGACTATCTTTTTATTATTCTTCCTTTAACTATTAAACAGTTAAAAAAAAAAACAGTGTTCCAATACTGCTCTCGTAAAAACAAGAAGTGATTATGTACAGTTAATGCATGTTTAATATTGTGATAATGTACAGTTAATGCAGTTTGCTAGTTCGTATCTGAATTTATTGAATATATATTTTATTCCTATAAAACATTACTTCTTAAATGATGTTCCATAGAACCCAGGCATAGCTCTAAGACAGACCTCGACAACCCTACAATTGGTGGGTCATTTCATAATTTCAAGTGAGCCACATAAGTTCAGAGAACAAAATATAATATATAAAATAAATTATAAAACCTAAATATGAAATAAGTCCTTTGAAGAATAGATAAAAAAACCGAAACTAAATAATAACAACATTTTTGCTTGATTACCAAGTTGCAGCAACGAATATGCATTTCCATTTTTAAAAAATTAATTTGTAACATAATTTCAAGGAGAAATCAAATAAAAAAGAATTTCAAGTTTGGCAACAATGATTCATTATTTAAAAACATTTTTTTTTTTTTCCAGCATGGAAAAAACTTGACAATCCTATTAAGAACACACAACTTCCTAAATTTTACTTTAAACTGGTGTTGTTTGTAATACATTAAATTTTGTATGGTAGAAAAGAGAATGTTATTTCTGAAATTTCACATTAATTATGCAATATACTTGAGATTAAAGTTCAGCAAAATTACAACAAATTTTCTCCTCTTTTGAATTTATCCATTCAAAATTATAAAATATGGTAATCCATATAATAGCAAAAAATTTTCTGTTTTGCTGCTCTGTTCTTATGATAATGAAGATTCAATTTTTATTTCTACTCTTTCTAAATAACTGTTATTTTGTCACCAATATAAACTGAAATTCAGTTTAAAAATCTATTACAGTTAAAAGATGGGAAAAAGTGCACACGATGTGCAATCACTAATTCAGTAGCAGTGCTTGGTATTATCGACAGAAGTTGTTTTTGACCTTGCTATTCTTGTAGTATCATTTATAACTGATATTGTGGACCAATTATTTTTGGTCTACTCACAGTTAGATATAAATTCCGCTGTTTGCCACTAGATCACTATTCTTAGCTACTGCTGTGTGCTGAAGACTGTGCTGCCTGCAAGCTTTCCTGGTTTGCTTGCTCTGCTTGTGCAGGATGTTACAGATCTGATGGGAAACGTCGGTAGGCTACTGAAATTTATAAAAAAGGGATATGGGTGTTTAATAGATAAGGATTTTATCACAGGATGTTTAGTGACAAGAGAATGAAGAGAAAGCCAGCCTCTACATCTTCTCTTAATGATCTTTAATGTCCATTAACTCTTAAAATTATTCTTTTCCTGCTAAATGTTCACAAGACATTTGTTATTTATCTTTGGTTGGAAAAAAAAAAGAATTCCCAGTATTTGGCAACTACATTCTGGGGCATTTTGCATATCTCTGAAAAAGAAAAAGGATTATATAATACAAACTTCCTAGTTATAACTGCAGTAGTCTCTTAACTCTCTATTTTAATTTGGTAATGTTTCCCTTCTGTCTAAAAATAATAACTACTATTAATATAAATTTAAAGTATAATAAAGTAATCTATATCGTACGATCTTATATAATGTTGCTAATGCTGGTACACTTTAGCCAATCATAACGATTTGATCTCAAAACTAGCATCGCAAACCATAACCTTTTGACTCTCTCCCATACTTTCTTTCAAATGCATCACTCTTTCCTGTTTTGCTTGCTTTAAGATTCTGAAAAGGTACAAAAATGTGCTGAAAAATAAGTACAGACTGTGCCCATAATGATATGTAAATCAGAATATGCTTCTAAAAATTGCTTTGCCTAGAAATAATAACGTGTTGGATAGTCAGAAAGACTGTGTCTGACAGCAACTATGAAATCACACCATTAGCCTGAACATTAGAAATCACACCATTAGCCATATTCCTGAACCATTAGCCATGATTAAAATAATCTGTGTCTTCTCTCAAATCCGAAGTTATTACATCCATATACATGAAAATTAGTTTTTACATCTAGTTAATAAAGCTCTCTAACAGTGTATGCAAATAATAAATCTCATACTAATAAAAATACTACAAGAACATACTATTGAAATATTCACCATTAAATCATTCACAATGAGCAACACAGAGATAGATGACTTTTATAGTTTTTCTAAAATGTATATTGTTTTCACACAAAATTTATATATAAATAATTTATGTATAACAATAATAATACTCCATATTACCAGTTTTCTCATTGGCTAATTGGCACCTCACAGCTTCTCTTTTGTGCTTGCTTTCCACTACATGATCTTTCAAACCTCTATCTGACTGAAAACAGAATTCATTGAAAACATTATTATAAGTTATGTATTTTTAAAAGTAAAAAAAGCTAATTAAAATAAACAAAGACAACATAATAGATTAAGAAGCAAAAGTTCACATTCACAATAAAAACTCTGCACCCAGCAGAAAATGATTTTTTCCCCCTCCAAATCATAATAAATAACACTTCAAGTTAGAATTAAAATATATTACATCAAAACTTTTCTCTGTTGAGCGACTAGAGCTTTCTAATATTTCTGATGCTTGGCGTTCCACTTTCTCAGATGTAATTACTTGACTAGAAAATAATTCATAGGATTTGCAAGATGGGCTTCTTACAATCTCTTTCTGAAGATCACAGTGACTAATATTATCTTTCTTCACCTAAAAAAGGGAAAGAAAATAACATCTTTATTGTAACAAAACAGGGAAAAAAATACGAAGATACAAAAACCAATGTAAAAAGTAAAAATTGACAAAAATAAATAAAGGAAATTTTTTTTTTAAATCTGAATGCTTTCAGATTTTACATATGTCCAAAAGGGAAATCATGCCAAAAGAGGCATTCATTTACACACACATACACATTTTGAGAGCAATTACGCTAATACCTCGTTAGGATAAAATATTTAAAAACAGTGTATCTTCAGAATTTCTGATAGACAGTCTCGCATGCTTGAGATAAAAATGTTTTATTCTGTAGAGTGTTGTCCCTACTCGCTTTGAAATCGTTGAGTTTTTTAATCAAAAATTCGTTAAAAATTTACAGAATATTAAATAGATAATAAAACAAATTTGAAATTCAAAATTCGGGCTTCCAGGTGCCCATGTACAGGTGAAGGACGACATGTTTCAAAATTTGATGGCTCTAGGTACTGTTGCTTTTTCACAATGCAAGAAACATACAAACATTCATGCATATTCTTCATTATTTCATTTCTCTAAATACAATACAGGGTGATAATGTTTGGTGGCAACAATTTGAAAAGTGATTCAACGCTTTTAGTGATTCACCACAAAATGCTGTTTCGAGACCAGTAGCCCTTCTGGGCTAATGCCATTTTGAGCTAGAAAACCTTAGACTGGTGCTGATTTTATAAAAATGATCCATTGGTTTCATAAAAAAAAAATATCTATTTTGAGGATAGTAGATAGGTCTATTTTGAGTCAAGAAATTTTATTTTTTATGCTACTAAGTAATAAAATTAGGTATAATTTATATTACCTCTAATAATTATACCAAATTTATGTATAAAAATGCATTACACTTACTTATTACACGTCTTAATATAATTTAATTAGAAGTTTTGTTAGTTTGGAAATGTTCAATGTGTGGTAACTATTTAAGTAAAAGAAGAAAAAAAATTTTAACCTGATTTTTCTTTAAATTTCGTTTAAAAATTATGATTTTTTTTTTACATTCTGAAAGAAAATCTCAGGCTGTACAACATATTTCAGACTTAATGACAATATCATAAAATGGGAAAAAAGAATTTTATCCTGTGTAAAAAATAGCTTTAAAAAAAAACCTCATTTGGCCTTAATACCCCTTAAAAGATAAATTAAAGTGAAAGAAGAAAATAACGTGAAGCAACTTCTGGCATAAATTGTGCCATATAACTAAATTCTCTCAATATTTTATATAATTTCAATGCTATTTTTTACTTTTTGAATTTAAACTTTTTTCATTTTTAAATACATTATATTGTTCATGCACAAGGGGAAAAAATTAATTATAACTTGATATTTTGTTATAAGCTAACTTGTAAGCCCTTTGTCAAAATTTTCATAGCTCACCACTGCCCATGTCGGTCCCCTTTGAAATCGATTTACATTTATTATAAAAACTACTACAATCTAGACTTGTCTCACACCAGGTGTGAAAGAAACCAAAACGTTCACAGAATTGTCTAAAAATTATTTTAAATATCTTTATAAAAAAAGAATTTAGTGTTCTTCCAAAGTCTACTCTGTGACTGAATACAGAGTTGCCAATAATTTCTGTTGGCCATCTACCATCGACAGAATGACTGTATTTCAAGTCTTGCTCACTAAGCATGCTAAATGAAATACAATAAGTACAGAAGATACTACATCACTGCATTTTAGTTGATAATTGATGCTCAAGGTAGTGAGGACATTTTCAGGTTGAAAGAATTAGTCTTCAAGTATATGGTCTGCTAATAACCAAAAATATATATTCAAGAAATGCCTGTCAACTTTTTTCAATATTTTTCTCAATCTACTTGTGAAAAGGCAAATGAAACATTAATAATTGTTTAGTATTTTGTTTGTTTTCAGTGGTTAATCTTTCACTAACTTTTCAATCTTCTTGAAACAAGCTACCCATAAATTATGTCTTACATTTGGTTTTCTTGGTAAATTTTCTTTCAGCGTTTTGATTAGTTTTACCAGCAATTTTATCTAGTATGAGAATATTCCATTATGTGAAGTCCTTGCTAGAGATTCAAATTTCAGTTTTTGATCCTCCTTATATAATATCTTAAAAACTTGAAGAATTTTAAATTCAGTTATTTTAAATTGACCTTTTTTAATTCTTTATATAATGCTTGAAATATTCTGCCAAAACTTGCATTAAAATGAAACAAAAACTAATTAATAATGTTTTTTAAATCACTGAATATTTATCATACCAAAATATTAGAAAAAACATATAAAGATATTTCAATATTTCTTAAATTTATTAATGAATATGAAAATATTTGAATATTTCTGATTTATTTGAATATTCAGCACACATTTCTTGCTTTTCAGAAATATATCTTATTTAACGATTTCTTCTCCCCTCCCCAAATGTTCAAATATAATCTTAAAAGGTCAGGAAATTACTTCCCATTCGTTTGAATCTTCTAACACAGCAGTATTGTTCATTTGGGTAAATAAATTACCAATATTTTTATGTATTTATTGACAGTTAAATTTTATGCAAAAATTTTTATTACAAGGACTAAGGACTAATAGTAAACTTAATGGAATTTTTCTCTGACCTAACTAATCACTTAGAAAAATATTTTTTCTCCTTCCTAAAAATTAAAACAATCATATTAATGAATGTTACTCAGTTTTCTGTTTATGATGATGAAAATATAAACACAGTATATTAATTAAAATTTATTTCTGCATGACAACTAAAATATACAACCACATACTTTTAAATATATGTATAAATGTATGTATGCATGTATGTACTAAAAAACTAAAGTATATAATTCTAATAAATTATTATAAAAACTGCTCTGTCTTTTGATATCCAGATCTAGTAATTAAATACATTGACCTCTTGCTAACACTGTGAGCTATGACATCAAGTTACAAACTTCTTACTGCAGGGAGAGATGTAGATTATCTGTACTTCTCTTTTCCATCAAAAAATTCTCGCACTGTTACTTGATATGGCTTAACGGAATTAAAAGAATAATGACTCTTGTGAAGATGGAAGCTTCTGCCAAGAACAGATCACTGAATTAAACACTAATAAAATTGTTTCTATTATTTAAAAGTTTACAAATACGCATGAAGAAAAGTAATTAAAAGTGGATGAAGGGTAAAAAAAGTGGTGAAAGCTAAATGATTTTTTTTTTAAACTAAGAATCCTTCAGTTCACTTAATTTTAATTCCAGCGATTTATGGGGATCTAGTATGAATATGTGAAAAGAATAATGCAGAGTAAAATAGTAAGAACACTAGAGAGGGAATTATACCGGAATAAATATCAAACATGATACAAATCTCCCTTCTCGTTCCCCCCCCCCAAAAAAAACAAATAAAACAGAAGTTTCCTTGCAAAAAAGTTCAATACAGGAATAATCTAAATAAATTTTATTATTTTTATAATTAAACCCTGTTTCTAAAATCATAATACATGTTTTTCATTTAAAACTTATTAAAAAGTACATTTTTTCATGATAACTAGGAGCTGATAAATACTTTCAGGTCCATGTTTGAATTCATTTAATTAGTTGTGCAAGCTCATGACTAAGTTGGATGGATAATCAATAATTTGGTATTTTAAAATACAAAAGACAGAGAGAGAAAAGTGCTAAAATGAGGAAAACATTCTTACATTTTTAAGCATCCCAGAAGATTTCTTTTCCACAACTTCAAATTCCTTCAGAACATTCCTGTAAGATCTTGTTATAATCGCTAAAATAAGTCCACTTGAATACAAGAAAGAGTAGAAAGCAAGCACAAAATAGCTCACATGAAGAGATCCAGCAGTTAATAACATCTGAAAATGGAAAGTATAAAATATTAAAATGAAAAAGTACAGAAATGACAAATACATGAATAATAAACCCCTTATGCAAATTTTTAAAGAATTTTTTATTTTATTTGTTACTTCAAAAATGGGAATTTATGCATGAAATACTTCTACTTTATACTAATTATCAAGCATTACTAATTTTTTCAGTGAGTGAAAATTAAGAAAAAAAAGAATATTTTTAATAGTAGAATCAACAGAATTATAGGTAGAGTTTAATTTTATTATTTTTAGAATAAATATTATTACAAAAATCAGAACTCTATAATCTTTTTATTTAACATCTAGTAAATTAAGTTTCTCAATTTCAATCAAAACACCAGATTACTTTTAAAACACTATTAAAAAAATCTGAAATAAAAGTTTTTCCAAAATATTACAATATTTAAAATACAGAAAAATACTTCACCCTTTGATAAAGCTCTTGCCAAAAATGTAAAGTCATCAACTGAGAAATTGTTACAACAGATGAACCATAGAAGTTAAAATTGGAAACATATGTGTTGACATGAGCACCTTTTAAACAAGTATAATTTGCAGGACATGGCCTAAAAGAAATGTTCTTTGTAAAAAAAATGTTTTAAAAAACCAAGAGGAAATAAAATAAGCAAATCTTGACTTCATACCTAGAGCCTGTACTGTTCCCACACAGATAATAATCGCTTTTACTTTCCAACCAATTTGCTAAAAATTAAATATAAGCTGAATTTATTTTAGTAGTTACTTAAAAAATTCATAATTAAAAGAAATTCAACAAGATAATTAAAAATATCAACCTCTAAATGCAGTTTCTCATAGCAAAGGAACATTCATGCAAATCAAAATAAATAACTGTATTTTGTTATTATATGCAATTTTTATATCATATCTTTGAGCGAGATTTGCATAAATTCTTTCACAGTTCTTTCAACTATAATTTAGTATTGAAAATATATCTTCAACATGAACTTTTCCTTCATCAGTTGCATAGATTTCTTGGTACTTACATATTATCCTACTCGTCTCAAACTCAAATTGCATGTGGGCGAAATGCTCAGTTTGAAAGTAGTAGAAATTTTTAATGAAATTTTTTTTATCAACAAAGTAAAAATATTTTAATAAAATATTAAATTTCACTTACTAATTATTTATTAAAACATATGTAAACAATAATTATGCAAGAGAAAAAACACTTTGTAATTCAAAAATACTGGCAGCTAAATATTAAATTTTCAGATTGACATTTTAAAATAATTTTAATATGTTAATTAATCATTAAAAAACTTACTTTAAGGTAAGCTAAAAATAAATGAATTATGGAAAGGGTTTCAGTTTTCAGAGAAAATTTTTTAAGCAGGACAAACTTGAAAATAAAAAATGATAACCTTGTCTCTTTCTCTTATTCATTAAATTTTTTGGGAGGACATAAATAAAAATACATATGCTTGTATGTAAATGTTTATAAACTTTTTAATTTCTTACTACAGCCTGGCACTTGGAGTTTCAATTCTGATAAAGTTATTATATATTCATCTTGAATTGTGAATACTCAGCAGTCAATAGTGTTCTTTAGTTATTAATTTTTAATTGTTGAAAGAAGCTGTTCACATGTATATGTATTTCCAAACAAAGCGATTATTCTTAGAGCAAAAATTCATAACTAAGAGAATTTCTTTTGACAAGTACAAATAAAAGTTAATCATATTTGTATCTCTAAATATTTTAGTAAGATTTCTGTAACAGCATAAATTAATTAGCTCCATTAGTAGTTTTTTGGCGTGTTATGTACATTAGTTTTTAATGGTGATGAAATAATATACACTCGGATTTCAAATATCTAAAATCCTGGAATTTATGCCCCAAATTCATAACCAAAATGTATTCACTGGCCATATAAAAATGTTCGGGAGGCCACGAGTTATCCATGAAACTATTGCCAAGCAGTGCAATAAGCACCAGTTGTAGATAAGCATGAATTAATAACACACTCTTAACATCCAGCGGGTATGCAAAGAATGCCTTAGAGAGTCCTTAAATATTCTGCTAAATTAGATTTACAATGTACAAAATTTTAATTTTTTTTTTTTAAATGAAATAGACTGGTTACTTTTGCTTACATAAAAACATATACATAATGTTTGTACAAAAGCAAATACACAGGTTTGTATAGTCCTATATAGGGGAAATATGGAGCCCCTTAAGCTTCATTCATTTTAGCCTCTTAACCATCGTTTCATCTTTACTTTTGAGTAGTTCCATCAGGAGCTGCCTAGGAATGAAGCTGCACAGTTGTCACTTGAAAGCAAATTCTAATACAAAACAAGTTGCACATTGCTACTCTCATTCCCTACGACCCAAACACTTTCAAGTCATTAATGATGAAAGCCATTAGTGATTCTGCACTTAAAACAATTTGTAAGTTTCTGGGGACAAGGTTGTGGCATGCATTTTTAGAATTTAAAACGCTTTCACACATTTTAGCGAAGCATAATGAGGAAGACTGTATGTTTCACAATATAATGGAAATCTATGCATTTTTTAAGCCACTGGCTTTTAGGTATTAAATGATAAATGGCATACACTAATATATAGATAAACACAGTAGGTTTTCTTAAATGTGGTGATAATATATATTTAATATACATCTGCAATATGATGAATAATATGGTCAAAGTTATTATCATAACTACAGTACTACATAATTTAAAAGCATAAAAAAAAAAAAAGACTTTATTCATACCTTCCAAAAATTTTGCACTTTTTTATATATACTTGTATAGACAGAACTCAGGAGATAATTCTGGAATGGTAGTTTTTGCTGAGGCAAGAAAAATAGGGGAATGTGCAGTCCGAGTAATCTTTCAATGCAAAAATATACTTCAGGAAACAAGAAGAGTAAAGGGCTATTATAATTTGAATTAATGGAAGTAATCAGAAGCAGTTCTATTTTAAATGTGACAGCCCACAAAAGTAAAATTGCATTTTATTGCCCATTATAAAAAGGGAAAAACAATTTCGGCTAGAATTCTGAGAAAACATATTCAGATGGTTTTTCTCAGCAACCCTCTGGGCGTTGTTCCAATCATAAAAAATAATTGACTTCCCATCTGTTTTTTATAAAGAAATTTTTTAACCAAATAATTCTTCAGTCTGTGTTCTAAATCAGTAGTGCAATCTACTGAGTGAGTAAGTCAAATGAAGGGTTCTAATTTTTGGAAATTTTATAGCAAAAGTATGGAACTTTTTATTTAAATAATTTAATTATACTGAATATTTTATTCGATGAAAGCTATATAAAATGTTATATTTTGCTACTTACACACTCCAAAAGCTACATTTAGCATCAATATTTGTGGAAACTACTCTGCAGAAAATTTTTCAAGCATTTTTTGTCATAAAGTAAACAAATTAAAATGATTTTTTCATCTTTCTGTATTTCATAACAAAAACTCAACAACTGATATTCAGCCTGTTTTCAAGGTTTCAACTTCCTTAAGATAGAATTTCCAGTTTTAGAAAAATTGGTTTCATCGGAAAACAAATATCAAGACATTCAAATCGTTCTGTTCTCAGAAATTGAACACAGAATGCAATTAAGAATATTCAGCAACTTTTCTTACTCACATTTCGATTTCCTGCAAACAGTCTGGCTTCTTGAAAATTTTTGTGTCTTTCCTGTGTGTAACATAGGCACAAGCCAGTTTTCCTTTGGCACGAGCCAGTCCTCCACGGAAACATTCCTTCCCCTTAGGCAGATAGCCTTTGTATATAAGAATTAAATCTAATCTTACTTAGCCACTGGTTGCTATGCAATTAGTCAGCTAATAGTCTGTAAAAATTAATTGAACAAGAAATGCATAAAAGTAAATTTATCTGAATTTGGCAAAGTACACAAAGGTGATCTTCCGAACTGGAGGGATGCCATCATGAAGGACTTAGGGAAACTGGCTCATATTCAAACTCCAAGTGAGGAAATCATGAAAAACCACACTATAGTGAACTTAATCAATCAAAATTCATAAAAGAATTTAATTTTACTCTGCTATATATTTAATTTCAATCAAGCCTATCATTGCTATACATTGAAGTTCAGATGGTTTTAAAAATGGGGATGTCTAGGGAATTAATAAATGATTTTGCAAAAATGAAACTCTCAAGATACAAATTTTAATGAATCAAGAATTTTTTAAATATTTATTTATGATGATTTTTATTATTAGTTTTATCAATTACATTGTAAAATCATCAAGTTTGTCAAAGCAAGCAATATTAAAAATAACCAATGCCTACACCAAGATTCAAACTCCAGACCTTCCAGTGGTAGATGGATGTGCTTTCCAATTATACTGCAAAGGCATGGTGTTAAGAAGGAGAAAATACCTTACAACATTAGTCAATCACAGTATTGCCTTAATTATCAAAAACGTAGAGCTGAAGAAAGAAAATTAGGAACAAACAGGAATTAAAGGGACAGAGAGGTGAAAAACTTGAGCAAATATATATTTTATAAAAAAATATATATATAGTCAAACAATTTTGTTCATGAAATTTCCAGTATAAACGTTTGTTTTAAGGTTAGATAGTACATTTTTTACGTTTAAGAAATGTTTATATCTATATTTTATTTTATTTTAATTTTATATTTTGTAAATTTTTGATTATTCATATCTTTGAGCTAAATAAATTATAGTGTAATATTAACATCATTTCTTTTTGTATGTTTATTATGCAGACAGTTAATCTGTAACTTAAAAAGTAATTTATTATTTCTTAAAAACAGTAAATAATAATAATTATGATAAAGAAACCTTAGATTGGTGCAAATTTCATATAAAATTAATTTTTTTTTTAAATCTTTATGGCTTCTCTCTTTAACCTTATATTTTGCATTTTTCTTTTTAATTCTGGGCTGCACATGATATGCTTCTTTTCTACCACTTTTCCACTGTACTTTCTACCACTGATTCATTTATTTGTCCCCGATACATCCCTCATGAATGGAAAATCTCAAAAAAGTCTGATCCCTCAAAGCAGCAAAACTGGATAACACCCAAATGATATTTCAGTTTTCACTCTTTGTTGACCTAAAAATACAGAAATAGAAAAGAGTAGGGGCACTTCGTAATTTTTCTTGCAAAAAAAATTATATTATACGTTTTCCATCTTAGTACCCTATACACACATGCTCATATTGTTCATATCAAGCCCTGAACGAAGTCATTATTAATGAAAAGCCACTGATTCCTGCCCTTTCTACAGAGCTGTAAATCACACAGAGTGGTGCCCAGAAATAAATTTTTGCATACAGGCCCACAAACTACTTACACCACTGATAACATCTGCACTTTTGTTTAATGAAACAAGAATTGATTCGATAAGCCATGTTTTATTTTTATCAAAAAGGACATAAATTGATTGTTACTGTTGTATTTTTTCTTGCATTATGAAAAAGAATTATTAAAATTTGGAACCTGACTTCTTCCTCTGCAAAACAGCAAACAGTAGACTATTGTTAAAGTTATAGCATGCTTTCATCAAAAAGAGTATAGTATTAGCCATATACAGCTGACTATAGCTGCCTAGATAATATAGTGGTTAGGGGAGTCTATTGCTGTACCGAAGGGCCCAGGATCCGAATCCTGGAGAAGGCATAGATGTTTGTATATGTATAATGTCTTTGTAGCATGAGGGCACTCTAAATATATGGCGAGCCGAAAGTCCTCTCGTGTGGTTTGGTGGTAGGGGAGAGGGTAGGGAGACCCTCTCAAAATTGCAGTGAAAGTATAAGTCGATAAGATAAGTCGAAATTGAGGCTTTGGCAACCATTCTTCCATGAAATACATGGACAAGACAAGAAAAATAACTGACCATAATTAACATAATAAGGTTAGTTGCATATCGCCAACAAAACAGTAATAAATTGGAACATTTATTTGAAGAAAGTTTGTACTCAAAGCATTCTAAACTGAGTTTCCAATAAAATCAGAAGGCCAAACAAAATAATATAAATTGATAAAAAGCTTTTTATGAAGAGAATTGAATAGTGATTATTTATCATATAAAGTACCAGTTCCTTCAATTCAGAACTCGGCACAAACAAATGGCCCAACTTTGGCGAGATTGCAGCCAACTTTCACGGTCAATCAGATAATATGTAAGTACCAATTTTTTTTTTTTTTTTTTTTTTTTTTTTTTTTAATCTAAACATGTTAGTGGCATGGACTGTCTGCCAGCTTTGTTCCTTAAAATGGCACAGAAAAAATGGTTCCTTAAAATGGCATGTACATCTCTAATTAATAAAAAGTAAAGATATGTAACATTAGAAATGAAATAGCACATAAACTATACTTTAAAATCAATTATTGTCTTAAATATACTTATATCTAGAGAATTCACCACATATATTTTTATCAGATTTGATTAATACCTCATCCTGAACTACCTAAATTCGATAATAATACTGCTTGCTCAATTAGTGAAAGCATTAAAAAAATGCTATGCAGTTATTAAAAGAATTCCTATATTTGACAATCAAGCTATGGAAACAGAAACTGTTATCTCTGTAAAATTTCAAATATTTAATATGTTAGATGAAATATAATACTCAAAAAGTATATTTTTAAAAATATTGATGACTGTAGAGATTTAGAATCTATCATATGAATGTTACTGTCATTCAACTATCAGTTGTTATTGAATGAAATAATTTTCATATGATAGTTGTTTCATAATTTATGTCTTTAAATCTAGGTATATGAGTACTTTTGGTGTGTCATGTAATGATAATAATACTTTCTACCCATAAATTTTACTGCATTTGTTACTCAAAAGTCTGTAGATTAGGTATTTTCTTGTTAAAGCCACCAGTATACTTAGTCATCAAAAATGGCAAACTGCTCAGTTTCTTACATGTAAATTCTTATTATCATCAAAAGTTTATGCAGTGGCCAAAACTGAATTAGCAAATTTAAATTATAAGAAGAGAAATACTTGGAAATTATGACTTTATACAATTTTCAACTTACATGAATTTGTAACAAATGAAGAATACTCAGCATGACTTAGATTAGCTGGAGGCAATACTACACATTTTTGAGTCAGTACACCTTTGTACAACTGCTTCCCCAAAAGAATAAAAATTGAGCCCAAAAATAAAATTAAAACAAAAGCTTGAAATAGCTTCCTGATGCAGTTCCTCAAAACAAGGGCAGAGAGATTCAAAACTAGTAAAAGAAAATACATATAAATAGAAATTCAAGATACATTATGTAGCTACATAATGATTTATATTTATTTCTTTAATAATTTGAATAAAATTATATAAGAATCTATGAATTAAAAAAAATTCAGCAAATACATAATAAAAAAATTCCACTTTGACATAACAATAACAAATTTTTAACATAAAAAATTTTATTTTGACATAACAATAACAAATTTTTTAAATAAAAAAAAATTTGGCTTTAAATAATTAAAAATTTGCATAAAATTGATTTAAAAAATTCTTCATTAATTTATTATAAAAATTCTTTAATTTTTCATTAACATAGAAAAGCTAGATAAATAATAAGACAAAATGTTATGCTATTTAGAGAAATTTTTACCATAATTAGCATGAACATTTACACTGATATTCCTAACTTTAGTTCCTTTTACTTATTTTTCTGCAAATTAATACAGTTTTTAACAATATTAATGAAAAGAAATTTAACAACAGTTATTTACCAATTTGAAAATAGTTACTAATACATAACCTTTTTACGCATAAAATGATATGGAACGTTTTATATTTTATATTTAGCATGATGAATTTCACAAACTAGCAGTTTTACTTAGAGCAATCGTATTAAATATTCGATTTATTATTTACAGAAACCTCCCACTTGTAGTGTTGAGATCGTTTTAAAAAAATTACCTTATTTTAAGAAATTGAAAGTCATGCCTAAGAAAAATATTTAAAGAAATAAAATCTATAATCTACTTTTAAACATCCTGCATATTTTTCTTTAAAACATCAAATCATTTCCAAATTATTATACCCCTAATCCGGAATTGTTAAAGTCCCAACGAGTCCAGATTATGGACTTTGTACTGTATTACTTTCCTTCAACAGCAATTACTACAGGTATTTGCATAACGATAAATTTAAGTTCTTATTTTAAATATTTCTGAGAAAGTTACCCTTAGTTTACCTAAATATGCAATTAGGAAACAAAATTAAAAAATTATGTTAGAGCTAATATTTATACAATTCATACATTTTTCAAGATATAGAAGAGTTCAATTATAATATATATACGGTACAAAGTCGGTAATCCGGACGTCCATTATTCGGAATGATCTATAATCCAGACCTCAAAGCCACAAACTTACGCATGCACGTAAAGCACTTATACGTGCACACTTCCGATAGTCAAGAAAGTGACAAAGAGTTTATTGAAAACAAAAAAAAATTTCATTGACAAGTTAGTCGGTATTCTCGACACAGCAATTACAGGATTTGAACAGTGAAACTTTGTAATGAACAATAAATTATGTCTGTTTATAGAAGAGAGAATTAAAGAGAAAGTATTAGCACAAAAAACGAAGCAACTTAAACAACTTACATTGAAAGAAATGTTTAATAAAGTAAAAAAATAAAAATTAAGCCCCCCCCTTTTTTTTTGTAAATTTTGATACCCTTTAGATCATAATTCCACTTTATTTCATAAATTATGGTTTCATATTTTTAATTGTATAATTTCTGCATGCCATCTTACCAGATTTAAATTGATGATAATCCGAGAAAACCCTTAATCTGGAATCACCGAAGTCCCGACAAGTCCGAATTACAAACTTTGTATTGTATAAAAGAAATCCATATATATCCTCTAAAAGCATTTAAAAAATTAGAAGCTTATTGAAATAATAACAGCATTATAATTTCAAGTGAAGTATTTTAAAAACAGCTGCCTTGCTTTATGAAACCAGCTAAAGGAAATTTTCTACCAATTAATTTGATTAATTTATGTTACTCGGAATAAATCAATTTAAAATATCATTGTTTAATAAAATTATACTTATTTATATTAATCAAGTTTTTATGGTTCCAAAAGCTTAAGGTTAACTTCACAAAAGGATTTTATAAAAAGAAGCTCACTAGTCTTTATACTACATGTGTGAAAAACCAAGAAAACAACACAATACTTTTTTATAATTACTCATGTACGAAGATTGTTTGCTCATTTTTTTTAACAATTTTAACTACATTTTTTAAAAAACCATTCTAAACATTCTAAACATTACATGATGAATTATTATCTGCAACAATCAAAACCTTCATAAGGTCATAATGACTCTTGTAAATACATATTGGATAGAAAGCTGCATTTTTATACATTCAAAAAAAAAAAAAAAATACTGTCAAATCTTCAGTACAAAAATAAGCTAACAATTCTAGAATCAAGATGCATAAAAAGGTATAATGAAATAAAGTCCAAATGCTTATCTTAAAAATGTACATACTTAAAAGAATACTTTAAAAAATTAAATCTATGCTTCTAAAAGACTTACTCACTAAATAATTTAAAATGTCTGTCTGAATAAAGTAATAAATAGAAATTTAAATTTTTTAAAAAAAAAAAAAAAAAAAGGTACTTTCTGATTACCCACACTCCCTCCCAAAAAGTCATGAACTTATTAGCGACTTTTCGCATTCACGAACTTGTTGGTGACTAATTTTTTACCAAGCTAATAAATGAAAGGCAACAGCCATTTTCAAAATGGCGGCATACTAAGAATTCATAAAGGAGCAATCAATCGATACAATTTATAAAAAATACAATAAGAGTAAAAAATTTTTCTTTTTTGCACTGCTGTTCTTCCAATGTACACAAAAATTAATTTTTGCTTAAAAAAAATTAGGAAATTGCAAACACTTGCTATCATCGGTCAAAAAAAGACATGCTAGTTTCACACCTAGGTTGCCACATTAATCAGAAAATATGAAAAAAAGACAAGTTTCAAATGTAAAATCCTTTACGAAAATCATTTATTGCATGAAAAATAGAAAGTTGTGATTACAGATGAAGCATGGCTATATCTGAAGAGCTTAATATAAAAAATTAGTACCATAAAAAGAGTTGACAGATTTTGTAATTTGGTTTTGTGGATCTAAAAAGATGTTTCAGTGAAAGGACTTTTTTTAATAAAAAAAGTAATCTTAAGAGTCAAAAGAAACATACAAATAAACCCTATATAATATCAAAACTTGTTTTTACTTCCATATTTTAAAATGAAATTTTGCTTTTTATTCACATAATGTAAAAGAAATTGAACTCTATCAGGACAAAGTTACACATCAATATCTGTGTCAAAACTTCTAAAAAAAAAGAGAGAGATAGAGAGAGAATCGGTATAAAGTATATTCTTTCACATGTTTCAGCAAAATCTTTTTGTGTGACTTCAAAGAACTACTGTGTTTTTCAACTATAAAACACCTCACTTTACATATTGACTAAGATAATTGCTCCGTTATGGAAAACAGAAGAAGACAAATGAGAAAATTTTCCATGGTGAAATTAAGAAATGCCTTTTTGTCATGGAAATCAAGGTGCAGATTAGTAGTTACCAGAAAAGTTTGCCAAACTGAACACTTAAAAAATAATACGGTACTTTTCCGTTTCGCCAGCACAAATCTCGCCAAGCAGACTTTATTGGCGACAACATACAGTATACACATACAAAATGTTAAAAAATGTTAGTTCTAAGGAATTTCTATTTTGAAGGCACAACATTTTAATATCATAAAATTTTGTAAAACTTATTTAGGAATGTACTATGCTTTCATGTTCATCTATTCTCTGATTCGCAGCTTCATATCATGTGACCCTAAGTGATATCATCTCACGTCTAACTAATTGCGATTAACAAAAGTTCTAAATCTAATTCGGAATTACAGGTGTAAATGCAGAATTTATTCAATTCGTCTAATAGCTTACTCAGAATTATGTAAAACGCAGTGCTTTACTTTGCTAGTGCATTCTCATTAGAAGGAATGAATTAACCCTTGACTTTGCCTTTTATATATTTCACCTTCGGTGAGCAATGTGATTGCATTCCTAATTGGCTTAATTACACGAATGCCTTAAGCATGAAAATTTAGCTGGTAAAAATTTTAAATTTGTATTGTAAATTAAAGAAACAATCAATCTGATTAGAAATGGCTGCGATTTGTTTTGAAAATGAGGCGTAAAAGGTTACCAGCAAGGATATTGGATTTGGCATCAGTTGTACCATTATTGGCAACTTTATCACTTGTTCTGGCAAAACGGAAAAGTACCAATAATAATTTGATTACAATCATTTGCAAAGTTACGTTATCATTTTGTAGAACATTTCATTTTATGATTTATTTTAATAATTTTCAGTTCATAAAAATTATTAAGTTACCATAGAAAAATAAGAGAGCTAAATATTTTATGAAGCAATACATAGTAAAGAAAATTAAAGAGCTAAACATTTTGCACATCACAGTAATACATATGTAAAAAGCACAGACGTAAAGAGGATACCAGCACTCAGAAGATTTAATTAAAAAAGTAGGCATTGATACATAATGTTTTACAGTTAAGAGAGATGAAAACTCCTAGAAAAACAACATATTACCTTCAATCATGATGCTAAATTAATGTTTCTGTTACATGAAATTATCAGTTTGCTGCATTGTTAAGTGTTGCAAATGAAGAAGATTACCACAAGGAAAAAAAAAAGGAAAAAATCTGAAAAAGAAAAAATAAAGTTAGAACAAAATGTAACTAAGTAATGCATATTATGTTTTCCTATTTTTTATTAATATCACATAAAATCACTTCAATATGGTAAACAAAGCATTTTAGAAATTTGTAGATATTTAACAGTTAAAACAAGGTGCTATGAGGACAAGGTAATATAGAAAACACATACACTAGTATACAAAATAAAGAAAAATATAAAAAACTATGAGCTGCTCTCTGATCAGCATTATAACAGCTCAAAAAATTGTCTGCCCGCTTTTCTTTTAACTGTATCCTGCATCCCTACGAATAAGATTTTTGAAAATACATTACAAGTATACACAGTGTCTTGATTAGCAGTGAATGTATAGTAACAATACTTAATACAATAATCATTAAACTTTTCAGTCAAATACAAACTAATTCACTGAAGTTAAAAAACTTATAAATAGGTTACAAATGCTAAAATAATTCTTACCAAGCATTTACATCATGTCTCAGACTTTTGAGTTTTAGTTCTCCTCATTTTCCTGCAACTATAAAAATGCAAAATTAACTTTAACCATAAAACATTTTATAAAAAATTAGACTAATTCAAAAAGAAAATCATCACATTCAGTTAATTGGCGAATTTTCATAAACTTGAAATGAGAAAATTCAACACTTCAGTTTTTTTCATCAAAAGTTGAAATCTCAGTTAAGAAGAAATGATTGCTAAAATATTTTTATTAATTCACATCAATTTGCTATTAATCCCAATGCACTTGAATGAAAATAGACAAATATACTTACGTTTTAAAATTTCAGCTAATTGAATGTAGTATAATGTTTGCAGACACATTAGTCACAAAATTTATGAGCTTTGAGTAATAAATATGCATTAAGAGATATTTAGGTACTATTTGGTTTTGAGGGCCGTAAAAAATCGCCAAACTATTGTTGATGCCAGTGCTGCCAAATATAACTGTGGCAACCCTAAGGCAAGAAAGGAAGTATCATACAGTCAAAAGTCTTTAATCCAGACTCATCGGGACTTCGGCGATTCCGGATTATTGGTTTTTCCCGATTATAGATCATCAGTTTAAATCTGGTAAAATGGCATGCAGAAATTATAAGATTAAAAATATGAAACCGTAATTTATGATTGGATTGGATTGGACTGGATTATTTAATTATGGCAAAGCACACGAGGGCTACCTGCCTAAAGGGAGGGATGCCTTCGTGGAGGACTTTCTAAGGGACTGGCTCGTATACACGTTACACAGGGAAAAAACCACGAAAACGCCCATGCAGCCAGCCGTTCACGGGATTCGAACCTCGGACCGAACTACCAGTG